TAGGTGTATAAACTTTAGATGCATAGAAATACTATATATAAAAAATATTTGAATTCAAATTCAATTTGAATCGGATATAATTCAAATTCAAATTTGAACCGGGTATGTAAACTTTTGACTTATAAACTTTGGATCTATAAACTTTAGGTGTATATAAATACTATATTTAAAAATATTTCAATTCAAATTTAAATTTGAATCGGATATATAAACTTTTGATTTATAAACTTTGGGTCTTTAAACTTTAGATGTGTAAACTTTAGGTGTATAAATTTACTAAAATAGGAAAGTAATGCGGTGCCAAAAAAAGAAACCATATGGAGGAGAGGGGGGCCCGCTAGGGGCGATCGATCGCCCCTTAACAATCTCGCATCTAGTGGCTTTAGGATGGTTTCTAATCACTTGGTGGACGTTCACCCGTTTATTACATGTCAACCAAATAGTTTTAAAAAAATTTCAGAACACTTGATAAGATAGATCAATATGTAATATATCACCCCACAAGCATGTAAGTTTAAATTCAACTTCTATAAGTTGTAACAAAAATAATAAATTCAACTGCAAATATACTTATACTAATTTAAGTTTTAATTGTTATTTTTGTTACAATTTATAGAAGTTGAATTTGAACTTGTATGTTTGTGGATATATTACATATTGATCAATCTTATTTTTTTAATAATTATTTAGATGGCATATAATAAACAGGTGGACGTCCACCGTGTGATTAAAAGAGTTTCCCCTTTAGGATGGGTCTTCTTCACAGCTTCAGGTTTTATGCAAATGTCAGCTAAGGTGAGGTCGAGGCTGACGAGGCAGAGTAGTAGTATAGCTCTAGCACTTAGAGCAAGTTTAATAACGGCGCCGACTGATGGCTCCAAAAACTTGCCAACTCATTCAATAGATAAATAATCTACCTGACATACAATGCAGGCTATTAGCTTTCAATTTTTTAATCGTGCTATTCTCTTGTTCTAATGCTGCATGTTGCTCTCCTATTTTTTTACTGGTTGCTGTGACATGCATGGGCCCCACGACATGTAGATTTACATATGCGCGCGTGCTCAGCCGGTGACTATTTAGTCGCTCGCTTTTCTCTCTCTGCAGTTTAGCTCTATGCCACATGTACTAAAAAGCGGGCTATTAGCTCACTATTGTACCTGCTCTTAACGTGTACTTTCTTTCACCGTTAACTCGTACGGAGTATAACAAATTTATTAGTGCTATTGATTTCATGCCTCAATGGCTACTACCATAATAATCGGGTATGTCTAATACGCGAACGCTCGCTAGCGACAAACCTAGCGAACAGAAAACGACAAAAAGAAAAACGGAGCCACAAAAAAAAAGGTGTTTTCCGGTTTCTCGTTTACCTATCACGCGATGGGAAAAGATAAACTTTTCCTTTTATCGTTTTTCTGTTAGGAGGTTTGTTCATATTGGATTTTTTTTTTGAAAAATATCTTAGTTTTTTTTATTTCTAGTAAAATTTATGCACTAAACTTTCGAATTATAGATATAATTTATATATAAAGTTTACATATACAAAGTCTATATATAAAGTATACATATACAATATATATATATATATATATAAAGTTTATATATTCAAAGTCCATATATATAAAGTTTACATACATAAAATCGATCTCTCTATATAGAAAGCCTATATATAGAAATTTTCCAAGAATATTATTCATTTAAAAAATTTCCCATTAGCATTTTGTTATTTCTGCACTAAACTTTCTAACTATGATGTAATTTCTATATAAAATCTATATATAGAAAGTTTCTATAAACTTTCTATGATATACAAAGCCTATATATACGTATATAAAGTTTACATATATAAAGTCTCATTATATATAGAAAGTTTCCACGGAAATTATTTGTATAGAAAATTTCCGTTAAGAAGATATTAAAATATACTATGTATAACGAAAAAAGAAATCTGAGAAATAAACAGAAGTGAAGAAAAAAAATAGAAATACTTATTATAGAAGAATCACGTAAAAGATGCAATGGATTACAGAATAATCACGTAAAAAGAAGGGAAAAAGATGAAAACGGAAGAAAATGGCGTGTCCTCCTGTTTCGCGTGTCCCTTCTGAGTTATTCGCTGGATTAGGTAACCACGAACGTTTGTGTACTACCCTTTTCGATAATAATCACATATTGTTAAGGGTGTGTTCTTTCCTTTATTTCGATTTTGCTACTTTCTTATTTACCATTAATATATTTTCCAAACCGCTAAACAGTGCATATTTTCTTAAAAAAACTTTCTATATAGATAGAACTTTCTTTAACAAATAGAAAACTCATTTTCAATTTTGTAATAGGTGATACATAGGGTCTAGTCAATATCTTTTTTCATAAAATTTGTTAGACATAAATATAGTATAATTCACATGTAATTACAATATAATATAAGAGAGAATATCTACTTTAGTCCCTAAAGTTTCTCTGTAGGATCAGTTTAGTCCCTAACCTTTTAAATGGTCCAAAGAAATCCTTAACCTTTGTCATAAGACCTAGAATAGTCCTTAGGTCCACCAAAACCATCATATGGATATGCCATGTCATCATTCATGCAAAATCTATAATGAATTGTCCAATTTATCCTTACGTATATCATAGAAAAATAAATATAAGGGTGAATTAGACATAACCATAGGAAAAAAATACTTCTTTTTTCACCATTTTGAGGTATACTTTTGCTCTTGCATATACCATATATTTTTTAACTTTTTCCTTTTGTTTTTTATTTTCCTATGCGTAAGGGTAAGTTGGACAAATCATATAGATTTTGTATAGGAAGGTGACATGGCATATCCATGTGGCGATTTTGGTGGGACCAAGGACTATATTAGCCCACATGACAAATTTAAAGGACTTGTTTGGACAATATGAAAGATTAAGGACTAAAATGACCCATGAGTGAAACTTTAGGGACCATATTAGCTATTCTCCCATAATATAACTTGTATGTAACTTTTAAAAATCGAGCATAACACACTGTTTTTGCAAAGCGGAGGTCGGAGGACCAAATTAATCACCTCATCCATGCATGCACTATAATTTTTTCCCTTCCCCGCTTTCATGAATCTTGAAGAAAATCTAATGGTTCAAAATTATATGAAAGTTTTATATAAAAAAAGCTACAGTGTAATTACAATATGTACTTACATTTGATAAATTTGTTGGAGAAATTCTTTTCAACAAATGTATAGCAAAACCAGAACTAATTATATACTAATGTGTAAGCCTCGGTTTTCGTTTAACCATCGAAAACTATTTTGATGAAATCCTATGGTTCTTTGATTGTATCTAGGTTTTTTTTGCCAAAGACGATCTCAATTAGATCAATCTTTGTGACCTCAAAGTCTTGGTGTTTTCTTCTAAATTAAATTCATGGTATTCGAATTTTGTAGTTGAAGTCCTTGCAATTAAATCCTTTACAAAAATTAATCAACAGTCCTCCTATACTTTACTCATAAAAATGTATCACATGTACACATTCTTTTTTTATCCTCAATTTTGCTAAGATTCAACTCTTGCTTTAATCAAATCTCCTTATTCCCTACCATTTTTATCCACTAAAAAAATCAATGGCCAAATTAATTCTTTCCTATGATCCTAAAATTTGTATTAAAAAAAATCCTCTCCCATATAAAAGTTCTCATGTTCAAAATTTTGAAATTCGAATAGCATCCTAAACCACTATTCAGAGTTTTATCCGAATTCATATCCTTTATTGATCCTTTTAATTCTCTATCCATTCCATTCTTTACAAAATTTTCTCAAAAAGCAAAAATCCCTACAAATCTGTCCAGGTGCATCCACCAAGTTCTAAATCCGAATTAAAGGTTAGAGCAATTTTACGGTCCTTGAGGAGATACCATGAAGTACCTCGGTACCATGAGGTACCAAAATTTGGTACCTCCTCAAGGACCGTAGAATTGCTCTAAAGGTTATGTAAGAACCATGTTTAGGAATTGATATCCCTCAAGGAGGTATTTTATAAAATAAAAGCAAAACCTATTTTCAAGTCTCTCTATTAATCTCTCCATAGCTAAGTCCTCCAAAATATCAAATCTAATTCAAATGCATCCGCTCTTCAAAGTTCAATCTAATTTTCATCCCAGTTCACCATCCCCCTAGACTTATTCAAATTCAATTCAAGATCCAAACCTCATATCAAATATAAAAAAATCTCAAACACATATTTTCCTTAAATTTGTAATGTCTCTACCAATTCGAATATCGAATTCAAAATCAAATATCAAGTCAATCAACCAAATGTCCATTCATACAACTATCTGGAAAATCATCAAAAGATATACTACCTCCGTTTTTAATAGATGACGCCGTTGACTTTTTCTCACATGTTTGACCAATCGTCTTATTCAAAAATTTTATGCAAATGTATAAGATATAAATCACACTTAAAGTACTATGAGTGATAAAACAACTCATAATAAAATAAATTATAATTACGTAAATTTTTTGAATAAGACGAATGGTCAAACATGTGAGAAAAAATCAACGGCGTCATCTATTAAAAAACAGAGGAACAGAGGGAGTACTATTATACACCCGGGCTGTTCGCTTGCAGTCCTGTCCACCATCGGCGCCGTCGCGTACTGTCGCCTGCGCGTCACCGCCGCCTGCTCACCGTTCCGGCTTCCCTCGCACTCTTCTGTGCCCCCCGGCCGTCCGCTTCCCTTTGCCCCCGCTCGACATCATGCTCCTTTTCTACGCGCTTCCCGCACGTACTGATGCTTCACGGTGACCGCGCGTGGTTGCAGCCCACGCCGACGCAGCGACGCTGCCTCGTGCTCGCCGACCCACTCACCCACACAACGCGTGCGGTCGCCGGAGCAAGCCGACACCGTACGTTAGCCCACCCGCCCAAACAACGCTCGCCGCCGCCACGCGATTGCCAGCCGACGGATGGACTCAGTGATGGCGTCACAGGCGCGCACACACACAAAAAAAAAAAAAAACCTGCAACCAACACTGCGGTCCACACCAACCAACCGCCTTCTTTTTTCGTTCTCGAAGCGTGCCGCCCACGGGGAACACCACACGCCGAGTCGACAATATATAACCCACGACACAGCCGCGCGCGGCGCGCGGCGGCACAAAACGTGAGCACCAAACTGATCCCCTCCTCGTCTCCACGCTCCGCTTCTCCTCCAAGCCAAATTCTGAAACACCAACCCAGATCCTTCTCTCTCTCTCTCTCTCTCTCTCTCCGGCCATGTCCGAGGCGGTAGATGAACAGATATCGGCGGGGAAGCAGGCGAAGCACAAGCACTGGTGGACGAGGAACCGGAAATGGATGATCATGGCTTGCGTGCCGCACGTCGTCCGCGGCGACCGTCCGCGGGGCTTTGATTGCGGGATCAAGCTGAAAATTCCTCCGCGCGCCACCCGACTCGCCGTGCACCGGAGCATCGCGCCGCGCCGCAAGACCATCGACGACCACCCCTACTTCGTCGCCAGCACCGATCACCATGGCCGCCTCCTCCTATGCGCCAGCCAGGGGCCCGAACCGGAGCCTCCCGTCCTCGACGCCTTCTACCGTGGGCCGCTCGGCGTGCACCACGGCTTCCCCATGGCGTACTTCATCTGCGACACGCGCACCCGGAGGTGCACCCGCCTCCCCGACCGCCGCCTCCCCATCCTCCACCCCGGGAACGTTTGCCTCGTCGGCACTGCGAGCGGCGGGTTCATCGTCACCGATCTCCACCCTACGCCCGGGGACCAACAGGCTATCCTGTTCATGTACAACTCGGCTTCTGGAGTCTGGAAGGACCGTGTGGTCAACTACCCTCCGCGCGATCGTCCCTGGGGCGGCAACGGCGTCGTCGTGCACCAGATGATGATCTGGTGGGTGGATCTCTCCTACGGCCTCCTCGCGGACCTCGCCTTCGACCAACTCCGCCGCGTCGTCCCCGGCATCCATCACGATCTGCGCTTCATCCCGCTCCCCGATGGCTGCGAGCTTCCACCGGGCACGGCGGACCTCGACAAGTGCCGCTGCGTGGGGCTGAGGCGCGACGATCTGCGTTACGTGCAGATCCACAAGCGCGACGGCGACCCGGCGGTCAGCATGTGGACGCTCGATCAGCTTGCCGGGACTTGGAGCTTCGACTGCGAGGCGAGCTTCAAGGCGATCTGGAACGACGAGGGCTACAGGGCGACCAAGCTGCCGCCGGAGGTCCCCACGGTGGCGCTCATCCACCCGGAGCACCCCGGCGAGGTGGCCTACTTCTTCCTGCACTCGCGGGTGTTCGGCGTCGACCTGCGCGCGTGCAGTGTCCTGGAGTGCGAGTTCTTCGCGATGCTGAATCCGCCGATGCGTTACCACTCGTCCCGATTCGTGCGTGCCTGGCGTCTCCCAGTCTCAAATTCTGGTACGTGACTGTATAATCTTGCCTGATATTTGTGTTAACTACCCCTGTGAGCTGCTAGTACTTTGGTGTCAGTCATGAATCGCGCCAAATTTGATGGAACATGCCTGTCTTGGCTCTTAATTAAGCAAGCAAATTTGCTCAAAAAAAAAACATGCAAATGGAACACCTAATTAAGGATTCACTTAGCTAGGCCTAGTCAACATTCACTCTGTGATATAAGTAGCTAGCTTTACAACTTCATGTTCATGCACGCGGTTGATGGTATTACTCTGTCTAGTGTTCTTAAATTTTTGGAGCGATAAGTTTCACTGAATTTACTATATGGCACTTTGCAGTTCACAGTTTTGCAAGTTCTTTCTTGCGGATTAAGCACTCATTGCGACATATAATGATATAGTACTTCGGTGAATGCTAGATTCAATTTTCCAACCCAGTCTTGCCCTGTGTTAGTGTTCATATATATGCTGGTCATGTCTTTGTTTTAATGATCAGTAGCTGCAAGATTCTCTATCGTCATATTAATTATCATATCGTGGTACAAATTTCCTTTTTTGTCAGTTTTAATTCGTGTTTAGTCAGCCAAGCACAAAGTAATCTGCTTATGCATTTTGTTTGGACCGAGTACAAAGGCAGTTTAAACCTGAATGTAGGGATAATGTCACAACTACTTCCAAGTTTGACATGATACTCTTATATAATCAAGCTTCACGTACGTACGTATGTATTGTGTAGGTTTAAGGAGTTCATCCACAAACAATCTAATGAAGATTTTTTTTTTCAAGATACTTGAACATTGGAATCATTTTTCAACTCTGCACATGCTTGTTATATGACAAGATGCATTTTCTTACCTAGTAGCAATAAAATCCTGCTAACTGCTTGTGAACTCTTTAAGGTGATTAAGTAAATATAAATAAGAGTAATGGAAATGTTGAATTAACATTTCCATCTGTTTGCTTGTCTTGAAGCTTCTAACAATCAGAAAAAAGGTACTTACGCGCCCAGCGAACGAGGGATCCGCGCGTCTTAATTAGACAAAGGTGAACATATTCAAGTATATCACGCTTTTTTTTTTGAAGACTTAAGTATGTCACGCTACTCTCATATATTAAGCCTCATGTACATATGCATTATCTAACTTAAGGGAATTTGTGAGGCAATAGTTTGCAGTGTTTATTTTCTAAAATATAGTTTATAGTGCTAGCTTCAGTCAAGAAAATTAATTTTTAAAGATACTTTGACGAGGTACCACACCTCTCGGTACCTCTTCAATCAAGAAAGTTTCTAGGTATTTGAGGAGGTAACTACAGATGCATGTGAACCATTTTATTTTAGATAAGGACGTGTGAAAGTTTTTTAGATAACAAACAACGTGTAAACTACCTTAGTAATTAGTGTAAATAACTCTCGATTAAACTACACATGCATGAAAGTTTTTTCCCCTAAAAATTGATAATTAGTTTCATGGAAGTAAATTTACCTTGTTGTAACATTTCCATCATTTGTGCATGTTTTGAAGGTTATGACGATTAAAAGGGGGGAAAAAAAGGTGCTCCTCCGGTGAGTACGAGGAATTCAGCTAAGTCTAGCTCACCGGCCGGTCATGACTTTGTCCTGATGATTTGCTGATCGTTGAACAAATGATCTAATGACCATGAGTATCGTTAAGTGGAACATTTATGCATTCTGTATTTCGTGGACCTATGTTGGGATATTTCATAGCACCATTTGTTTTTCCTAAATGTAGATTGTCAATCGTCTTAAATTTGTTGGTTCTTCGATTGTTTGCATCTAATCTCTTGGAAAGCTGGTGGAAAGCTGCAACGATGTTGTCCGAATCCCCGTTGCGAGATCTCTCTCTCTCTCTCTCTCTCTCTCTCTCTCTCTCGTGGATTATCATCGTAGTATCGTGCAACTGCAGTCTGCAGATCCATTATCGACAAGTCTGGGTGATAGATTGCCACTTGCTCAAGAGAATTATGCCCAATTAATTGTTGCTATGTCCAGAGGGGTGCAAGCGGAGCGGGCAACCGGACCTTTTTTTTCCCATTTATTTCACTTCTAGTTCATTTTTTAAAAAAAAATTATATTACCATATAAAAAATAGACTAACAAACGGGTTTTTATGCAGGTAGCGGAACTATCCACTTACATCCTTGTGTCGGAAACGTTACATCTGGTGCAGCGTGTTGATGTCACAAACATCCCCGCTCCAGTACGGGAGACGCGCTGATCATTTCAGCGTCACATGCTGCGATGGGCTCGGCGCGGCGCGTTGGTCCGTCTTTGAACCATCACGCAGTTGCAGCGGTGCAAGGAGAAGAACTTGATCAGCCGATCTATCCGTGCCCGTGCGCGCATTTTTCGCCGTGGCGTAGGTACGTACTACTCACGTTGTCACGCGTGCGCCTCAGCGGCGCTGTCCCTCGTACTCGTGCATTGGTGCGCGCGGGGTTCCAAACGAGTGCACGACGCCATCTCACAAAGCTGCAACCAACTGCGTTCTCTGTACTTTCAGTTCGAAACGAAACAGATCGTGTACGGCCGTGTCTCATGTCGTCCACGGACGCCATCTCACAAGCTGCAAACCACCACGCCACGCACGCTGAGTCGCCACTATATAAGTACACGAGTGACGGGGACAGCCGCAGCACAAAACGTGACCACCAAACTGCCGGAAAATTCTTTTCGCCCCTTCTCCACGCTCCGCGCACACGCCTCTCCAACGACCCAAACCCACGCTTGCAATGGATGATGACGTGGCGGCGTGGAAGCGGTGGAAGGGGCAGTGGGTGACGGAGGACGGGAGCGAGCTATGGATGGTCCTCGCTTGCGTGCCACACGTCGTCCAGGACGGCTACTTCAAGCCGGGATTCGACAACGGGTTCAAGTTCCGCTTACCCCCGGGCGCCACCCGCCTCGTCGTGCACCGGAGCATCGCCCCGCGCCGCAAGACCATCGACGACCACCCCTACGTCGCCGGCGGCGACTGCCATGGCCGCCTCCTCCTCTGCGCCACGCAGGGGCCCGAACCGTAGCCGCCCGTCCTGGACGGCTTCTACCATCGTCGGCCGCTCGGCGACGGCGATCACCGCCATGGCTTGCTCCCCAAGGCGTACTTCATCTGCGACACGCGCACGCACAAGTCCACCCGCCTCCCCGACCCCGGCCTCCCCATCCTCCACCCCGGCAACGCCTGCCTCGCCAGCATCTCGCGCGACGCCTACCTCGTCGCCGATCTCCACCCCACGGTCGTCGGCGCCGACCACGCCACGCTGCTCCTGTACTCCTCTGCCTCTGGAGCCTGGAGCAACCTGGAGCTCAACTACCCGCCGCGCGACCGTCCATGGGGCGGCAATGGCGTGGTGGTGTGGCCCAAGGAGATCTGGTGGGTGGATCTCTCGTACGGCTTCCTCGCCTTGGATCTCAGCGTCGCCCACCGTGAGCTGCGCTTCGTCCCGCTCCCGGTCGGCCGCGAGCTGCCACCGGGCACGGGCGGCCGGGACCTCGAGAAGAGCCGGTGCGTGGGGTTGAACTTCGGTGAGCTGCGGTACGTGGAGATCGACGAGCGCGACGGCGTCGGCCCGATCGTCAGCATGTGGACGCTGCTCGACGAGGATGCCGGGACGTGGAGCTTCGACTGCGAGGCGAGCTTCAAGGCGATCTGGGCCGACGAGGGTTACAAGGCGACCATGCTGCCGCCGGAGATCCCCACGGTGGCGCTCATCCACCCGGAGCACCCCGGCGATGTGGCCTACTTCTTCCTGCACTCGCGGCTGTTCGGCGTGCATCTGGGCCAGTGCAGGGTCCTGGAGTGGCAGTTCTTCGAGATGCTGCACCCGCCGATGGCTTACCACTCGTCCCGATTCGTGCGTCTTTGGAAGAACATTCCGGCCTTCCGGTGCTAGGTGCTAGCTTCTGGTGAGTTTGTTGCATAATCGTGCCTGATTTTTTGTGGGGGGTTTACTACTCTATCTTGAGCAACTGAGTCGGCAAATTTGATGGAACACGTATGTCTTCAGCAAGCGAATTACCTGCCAAAGAATTCACCTAGATAGTATGCCTCCTGTTGGCAATGGCGGGAGAGATGCGCTCTGATGTGCTAACACTAAACACTGTAACTGCATTCAGAATAGGTTGACCGGATTACTTCATCCATTGTTCTTCATTTCTGAATTTTTAACGTTCACTGTCTTGCAATGTGTTACTGCTCATATGCATGCTCATCATGGCTGTTTTATTGATCAGTAGTTGCACCAGCATCCTTGATGATCATACTCGCATCTTTTTTTTCTCTAGTCTATATTGATACTGAATTTCAAGTTTGATGTTCATTGATCTTTGCTCTGTTCAAGTGCACTTCCATGGGAAAAAATTCTGGTGTACTGTTCCTCACAAAAAAAAAGAAGTGGTGTAATGTTCCTCTCAAAAGGAAAAAAAAGTTATTGGCTATCTATCTATTATATTATTAAAGGAATAGAAAAAGAAGCCTCCACGTTCGCTCTCATGGCCTAGAAATTCTCACATTAATCGGAGAAAAAGAAAAAGCAGAGTCCATATAGATATACAATTTAAAAATAGTTGAAATTCGGAATTAAAAAATAAGGAATATTAGAAGAGGAGACTAGAGTGCATATATAAATACAATTTAGAAATAGTTGAAATTCGGAATTAAAAAATAAGGAATATTAGAAGAGGATACTGGAGTCCATATAAAGAAATACAATTTAGAAAGAGCTGAAATTCGAAATTAAAAATAAGGAATATTAGAAGTAGAATATAGAGTCCATATAGAAATACAATTAGGAAAGAACTGAAATTCTCGGAATTAAAAATAAGAAATATTAGAAGTAGAATATAGAGTCCATATAGAAATACAATTAGGAAATAATTGAAATTCGAAATTAAAAATAAGAAATATTAAAAGTAGAGTACAGAGTCCAGATAGAAATACAATTAGGAAATAATAGAAATTCGGAATTAAAAATAGAGAATATTAGAAGTAGAGTATAGAGTCCATATAGAAATACAATTAGGAAATAATAGAAATTCGGAATTAAAAATAAGGAATATTAGAAGTAGAGTATAGAGTTCATATAGAAATTTAAAATTAACTAAAATTCGGAATAAACATAATAAAATTAAAAGTAGAGTTTAGAGTTCGTATAAAAATACAATTTATAAATAACTAAAATTCGAAATTAAAAAGAAACATGGGAAGAAGAGTCTAAAGTTAATATAAAAATACAATTTAGAAGTAGGTGAAATCAAAATTAAAAATCAATGAATATTGAAAGATGAGTTTAGAGTTCACATAGAAATACAATTAGAAATAATAAAATTTCAGAGTTAAAAATAAATAATACTGGAAGAAGAGTCTAGACTCTATATAGAAATACAATTTACAGATAATGAAAATTCGGAATTAAAAAAAAGAAATATTGAAAGACGAGTCTAGAGTCCATATAGGAATATAATTTAAAAAAACTAAAATTTAATATTAAAAATAATTAATAACCAACACGTATATAAAATACAATATGAATATTACACATTAGTAGTTTTGTAAAGTTAGTATAAAATTTAAAATTATGTTGTTATTTTAATATATTTGAATAATACATTGAAAAAACATATATGCTATTATATGAGAGAAAATATAATGATGCTAGCCGCGCAATCTAAGCGGGCCACCATGCTATTTCTTGGTTAAAACAAATGCACAGCACATACCGGTCAGATTACATGACTGAGTTGTTTGGTCAAATTTTATGTGTGTTTTTCTTGACATTTTCTTGGGTACATTTGAAATGCTCATTATTTTCCTAATAAATTAGTACTACTAGTTTGCCTTCGTATAGTTGGACAATGAATCTGTTCCCAGTTTACATTTCTTATTTTTATACGGAGTACTTATAATAAAAAAGGAGTACTACTGGAGTATATGCTGCATGTCCGAACAATAAGCGACACTGAATCTGTTGCATGTCCGAATCTTGGTTTGTTTGACTGGAAGGTGGCATATGCCACTCCCTCATTCCCCAAAAAAAAATATAATTAGTGGCATATAATCTTGGTTAGATTCCTGGTTAATCTAGTTAGATTCCTGTCCAAATTCGTTGTGCTAAATTATGTCTCATTTCATACTGGGTTAAGTTTTTTTTAGGATGGAAAGAGTACTCCTTAGTCTTAGAATGAATTGATCTAGTATCGGATATAACATATCCTAATATAATGAATTTGGACAGATTCATGTACTTGTCCAGATTTATAATATTATAATATGTCATATTCTGTAATAGATTAACTTATTTTCAAATAAATGTAGTACTCTACTAGTACTTCATTTTTCATTCAGATGTGACCGATAACAAATATATAATAGGGCTCATTAACACCTACAGTAAAAAAAATATTCTCTCTATCCCAAAATATAGCAACCGAATTGGATGGAACATATTCTGATACACGGACTCTGTCTAGATGCATTGTACTGATATATCTCATCTAATGACGGGAGTAACTCCTAGCTATTATATCTCATCTAATGACGGGAGTATTAATTTGGATATGCATATATCTAATTTCAAAAATTTCAAAACTAGGACTGATTCTTTTTATATATGGAAGATATAAGAAGTTGGAACACAGTTAGCCCAAGAGAGATGAACATGTATGCAGAAAGAATAAATTCGATTATTTAAGTTTAAGAAGACATAATTTAATGGTTTGGGTTAGTCCAACGGCCCAACCATGAAAGAAACGGGATGCATGCTGTAGAAACAGCATCTCGCCAATGCGGTGGACCCACACGGCGTCACGGCCAAACCTGTAGAAACGCTCTCTAGTCGACTCCAAAGGCGAGTACTCCACATACATACGGAGTAGTATGCAGCACACAGTGCGTAGGCGTAGCAGCGTCGCCCTCCAGCTTGATCGATCGGCTACGTCACATGAACTGACGCACTGTGCATTAGGTGGAGCATCGTCCAACCGGGGGAGTTACGTCTTTACCGCGCACGGCGAATCACGTGTGCGCGGGCGTACAACCGCTACGCGGCCGCGCGCGAAACGGCGATCGCGCGGGCAGCTAGCCCGCACGGCGTTCATGGCGAAAAACGTCTCAAATCAAGCCCACGGTGCGTTGCGTGCGTACGTCGGTGTGGCAATGACACCTCCCGGGCCGGCTGCACGCGCGCGTGCCGCGCGGCCTGCGAGGTGGCCTACGCCTGCGCCCGTCTCTGTGCCACGGGCCGCTCGCGAGTCCGCGGTTGCCGACGCCGCCGCGCGCGGGCAATATATATAGAGCGCGCGCGTGCTTGCCGGACCATGTCGCCACCGTCGCCTGCCCCGCCCGTCCGTCCAGGATGTCGTCCGGATTCGTACGCGTCTAGGAATGGGAGAGCAGATTAAATTTTCAGGCATTCAGGCACCTAGATAAGCAGAGTAGACTGTGTTCGGGATGCAAGTTAAAACCCGTTTGGACCTATATATTACATACGACAAGTTTAGTGTTCTAAAAATACATGTTGGGAGTTTAAGGATATAGATGATACACCTGCATAAGTTTAGAGAGAACACCCATGTATTTCACTCTTTGCAAAACTCTCTCATTTGTTAGCTAAGTGGAATTATTGTCTATTATTTCATGCATTGCATGGTTTAATGGGGAAACTGGTTTAGGCCTGATTTAGTTCCTAATTTTTTCTTCAAACTTCCAACTTTTCCATCACATTATTCCTACACACACAAACTTCTAACTTTTCCATTACATCGTTCCAATTTCAATCAAATTTCCAATTTTGACGTGAACTAAACACACCCTTAGTCCCTCAAGGTTTGTTCGAATACACCATTAAATTCTTAAATAAAATCTTAAAATGTTGACACCATTAGCAGAATATGGAAATGGCAATAAAAAAATTAAGCTTGAACTCAAATCATACATCAAGAAGGAAAAAAATGCAAATCCTACAAATCCAAAATAGTAATGGTAGTACTAGTCAGGCAGTCACTTTAGAATATGTTCTTTTCCTCAATGTGTTAGATCGATTTTGAACTTGATTTTGGTAAACAGATATAGACATCATTATACTCTATATTGTTAATTTTTGAAACTTTTTTACAACCATTTTGTATCGAATCTGAGACAAAAATATATATACAAGTGGAAATCTCCTCGAGAGATTAATTCATATCCCGGTTCACTGTGTAATTAATTCGTTATGTCATGCGAGTGCCAGCATTCCAAATTTTCAACTGCTGGATCACTAAGAGTCGCGATTAAGTAATTAAGTTGGGTATGTCGTGGTGGTGCGTCGTGGTGCCACTGCCATTTAATTTGCAGAATCGAGTGCACGGTGTGCTCCTCGCCGTACGTCCCGATACTTTAGCCGTGTTTACCCTTTTTTCATCCTGAGAAGGGAATTCCACAGGTTCGCGTTTCGAGCAAATCTTTTTCTTGTCAAAGGCTGCCATGGAGATGACAGGTGAACAAGGCTGGGCAAGTTGCCCACTACCCGTTCCGATGCTACGATTGCTAGTATTGAGAATTTGAGATTGCACAAGGCGACCGTGCTACCAAACTCAAAACGTCCATCAAATCAACACACAAAAAAATGTGAAACAAATTATAAGACGTGCAACACTACGACTAGTAGCACCACACACATACACAAAAAAAACTCAAAATATGATGCCACATGAAGTACGAAAAAGAAAAAAATATACTAGAAAAGACAAATTCCTTCTCCAAAGAGAGCTCAAAAAGGTATTTGTCCCCTTTTTTTTTCAACTTCCAGTCCACATCCTTTGCTTCACCATCCCAACAAAAATCTGGCGGTGATCAATCTCTGCCGCGGTGAGAAGAAAAGCAGAAGTCCTGCAAAGCCAACAAAGCTCTAGTGCAACACAGCACCAAGGCCAAGCCAAACCATGGAAGGTACGGAGTAGTTCTATGGGAAGGGCTCCGTTTTGTCCGTGTATGGAGAAAAGCGCTCGAAGGACACTGCGCCCCTGCAACTCTGCAAGCTTCAAGCCCTGCCCCTCCTGCACACTCCACCCTGCACAGGTCCTTTATCCAACTAGAACTTGCGGCGCGCTTCGCGGCGCCCTATCAGCTCATATTCAGTGATGTAAAAGGAGTAAATTGCTAAGAGGAATATACGAATCATATTTTAGCTGAACTGGAAGTTTAGGCCTTGCTCAGCAGGCTAATTGTTAGGAAAACAAAAACTGACAGAACACGTAGAGAAAACACTAAGCAGCTGTTCGCATGATCCATGAGCATGGAGAGGCAGGTGAAAATGTTAGGCTTTAAAGCATACATAACAGAGGGCAGTGTTTTATGTAATTAAGGTAGGCGACAACGCCTGCGAACTTCAAGAGGAAGACGGCGTGGAGCTATGGCTGGTGTACCGCCTTCAACTGGTCCGTTGTTTAGATCAATCTTCAAGGGCACCCAGCTAAATGTTTTGACAACAGGGACACGGGGCCTTTGCTGCTCATATTCCCTAAGAACTTCTCCATCGCTATCACTCCCGCTGTCTTCGTCAGTGTAGTCGAACAGCTTCTCTATATGAACCAGCACAACTGACAGAGCTGCATTGTGCATCCAACTAATGTTTGCTGATCCTCGACGACCTTCTTTAGTCTCAATGTTCCAGCTTATCACCTTGGGTATAAGGTCACAATCTGTTGTCCAGGCAGCTAACTTAAAAATTGAGAGTTCTTGGATATGGTGCTCTCCATACAACTCCTCTACAAAACAACAACTGTCCATGAGCTCTGATATAGCTTCTTTGTTCCATGATTCTGGTGGCACGCCTTCTAGCGCAAGTATAACCCGCTGGCGCAGTGGATTTACAGTGCTACCAAGATTCATCTTGAAAGGCTCAAATGTGAGGCGAGTTGCCTTGAAGGTGAACGATACCTTTTTGAAAGCTCTTTCAGACAGTTCTTCCTGCAGATCGGCATCCATGAAGATGGCAATGAACATCTTTGGGTGGAAAGGGAGCAATGCGAAATCATCAATTTGACACCTGCAGACGGCGCTTATCATCGCTGATATTCTTGTTGTGGTCGGATTTCCAGCTCCAGACACCTTAACAACAACAGCTCTTGTGTATATGATGTCAGCTAGCATATGCGATATCTCCTTGCGCCTAGAGAATTTTGTTGCTAGTAATGGACGATTGGTTCCATAGGAAGAAGGGCGTTGTGGCTGCCCCACGCCTAGCTCAGCGCTCCAATCAAACTGCATCCCTAATAAAGAACATCCATAATAGTATTAGACCGGATTAATTGTTTTGCTAGGTTTTTTCTTGCTATATGTTTTATTTTCTAAAAATAGCTCTTGTTCCTATCGCCAAGCGCAGGCAGCATGCGCGGCTAGGAAAATAGAACCGGATGTATTATTACCGAAGCATCAGGCAATGCAATCACGTCGAAACAGAAGGCTGCATTTCGTATAGACTGCATAGCATAGCAAGGCATAGAGAGATACCCTGGAACAGAGGTAGAGAAGAGCACCCTTACCCGTAGAAACGATGGTAGGAAAAGAGTTGTTCTTCCTCGAGCAGGAGTTCTTCAGATTCAATCTGTGAGACTCGGCGAGGAGTGCTGAGCTGTGGTGGAAGAAGAGGATGAGCTGAAATGAAATAAGTGTAGAGTGTGGGATGCATTTTTAGCAGGTCGTGTTGTCCCTTCATAGGAGTAGCTAGCTGTGTAGGCTGGCATGTCACTCTTTAAAAAGGGAGTCAGTGTGCAGGCATGGGCTGCACATTTTGCGTGGAGCGCTGGCTGTTGAAGGTTAAATAGATGTATTTGTGGTACAAATCAGTACCACGACACAATGTGATACGTTGTACGCGCCATGCCGTGAGCATGGAACGCATTGTTGTTTCAGTAAACAGCTGTATGGAGGGATTCTAAAACCAAGCAACCATAGAATCAACATCGAGTTCGATTGCTCTGGATTATAACATTAGAACAGTCTAATTAATCTTAGGAGGTCCAGCATAGAACGTTCAATGAACAGCCAGCATTCATGGTTATCACAGTGCATCTATGATAACATAGAATCCTAGCTAACTACAGAACGCATGGGTAGATGTTTTCGTGGTCCGTTACAAAAGTATTATGCTCATAAACACACAATGAGCAACACAATAGCACAGTTTGCATAGGTACATAACACATTGCCCAGTGAAGCCGTAGCGAAGCTGGAGGCAGCATGTAAGGCCACTGAACCTGACGGTGTACTCTCCTGCAACTGTATCAAGCAAAAGCTTCATATTCCCACAATGCATCAGGCATTGTTGTCTCCGCTGAAATGTAAGTGCAAAATAGCTTAGTCATACATTCTACGAACTTCTTTTAGCACAGGTTGTACAGGCTGAGTTTACCTGCCATCAGCAACACCATCACCATTATCCTTGAACAACTTCTTAGCAGCTCCTATACCGGGAGATGGCCTAGCCCTGTTTGGCAAATTCAGTTAGAACATATAGAACAAACTATTGCTCCTTATGTGTAACATAAACATGTTTATGGAGCTTGGTACCTTTTCTTGTAGGACTTGGACGTGCTATGTTTAGTAGCATCGTCAGCAACTATCTGGCTTAGTGGAAGGTTGTCATCATCCTATATATATTACGACAATATTAGCAATGTTAACTTTTAACATAGAAATGCTTTATGACAAAAATTCAGACTATGCCTGCTCGATTACCTCTGCTTCGTCCTGAGGAAGCTCAGCTGGAGGTTTTGACTGATACTCAGTCTCCGGTTTCTTGTGCTTGATTGAAGCGGCTAATGGGCTGTCTATTCCAGCTGTTGGATCAGCAAATCCAATAGATGGATCAGCCGCTGCCGAACACTGCCCAATAGAGAGACCATGTGATAGCCCTGGTGATAAAGCCTGAGAAGGCACTGCAGACGATGCCTGAGATGCAGATGGGGATTGCAAGGCTGAAGAACAGGGATTGTCAGGACCTCGAACGATCAAATTCACTTGGAACGAAACAGTGCTGGAAGACAGGGTGTTTTCAGTGAAGGCAACATTCCAAGTAAACTCCTTCTCAAGAAGATCTGTAATTTCCTTTGGTATGAACTCAATGCCAGCAGGGTTGTTCTGTATCAGCATCTCGACTGGTCGACCGATAATGCGTTGTGCTGTGCGCCCAAAGAGCACAAACTTAGTGTCACCTGTGTCGTCTCCTGCAATGAGGCTGAGTTTGATCCTGCAGGGATCCAAACATGGTTAGACTCTAAATTGGTTTTAGGTATCCAGTTCTCATGACATGCAGTACTCACCTAGGTGATGCTGACACCACAGCAGGGCAGGATGTATTGCCACACCTGTATGACTTTCCATATGGTTTTGCTGTTCTTTTGCAGGTATCACATGCAGGGTACCACCAGGATGATTCTGTGTCGATCTTCTTAATGACGACAGTAACCATGAATTCATTTTTCTAGGTGTAAAAAGGATTATATGTTAGCTGGAGCTTATTGTCATGGATCTATAAGATAGCAAAGTTAAATACACAGAACATATAACATACCCTAAACATAAAAGGGTTGAGGTCCTTGATCTGGGCAATTGACTTTTGTTCGGCGCCAGTACGAACAGCTCCAACAGCTGGGAGCTCAATCATTTTGATAGGTTCATATTTTCCCTGTATGCTGTAAAAAACACACAGATGAGCCTAGATGGGAATCTGTAAAAGAGTGGACCAAATCTACTCGAATTATATGAAAGTTAGAACAAACCTTTCTTTGAAGGAGTTGACCTCAGGAGTGTTCACATTAATGTACCATTTGCAAGCTGAGTTGCCTGATAGAGATATGTCGCCTATGAAAGAAATGTGTTAGTGCACGATATGTAAAACAATTGGAGTCATAGTCTAAAAACACATTTGGACACATTGAGAGCCCACTCACCATAGCCCCTCACAAGAGTGCCCACAAATATCGCTATCTGTGGTTCTTTCTGACCAGCAGCAACCACTTCATCGACAGGAAAGCTTGTAGCACGTTCTCCCCATAGCGCCACATTTAAGATTGTATCGCTATGGAATGGATGTAGTAAAAAAGTGCATAAAAATCTCGCATGTGTGGTTTGTTGGACACGATGATTATGTTAGAGCATATAGTTTCTATGGGTATGATTTGTGTAGTGTTGAAGAAAAAAAGTCAGTACAGCTGGAGATAGCTGGTTAGTCAACTGACATAATACATAAACAGATCAACAAATCTAGGGAAATGCAATTCACATGAATGAAGATAATAGATAAGGTTTGAGGCTAACTTAGTATCACGTATGTAAATGCTTCTCTTCAGGCTATCACCATCTCGGATGCGCGTCTGAACTGTCGTAACAGATGTTACCTCAGTAATAATGCCAATGACATCTTTTTTTTGTATTGACAATAAGAGGAAGCAACTTGTCAGTGATCTGAAGGACATTATATCATTGTACGTCATGCTTTTATTACCCAAAACACAATGAGAATACCTGTGAATTCTTCTTTCCTATCGACACGCTGACGGAGTCCACCATATGGTGTGAGTGAGTAAGTGTACAAAGGGAAATCAGCTGCCGGATCTGCAACCTGTTCAACTTTAGTCCACCTTGTAAAACAAATTGACAGGCTGTTGTTGACTGGCCTGTATCGCCTGCTCCATTCCCTCACACGGTAGTACTCAAGATAGTACACTTTGCCTTCAGTGATGATTTCTCTGAACTGCAGATCGCAGGGAGGGTATATCTGTGCTGCAATGCTAGTGCCCTGTTTCAAAAGCACATTAGTAAAGCAATCTGTTTCTACAGAAAGCTGGGTGCTCAGTGCTCTGAAGAACTGACCTCCTGATCAATCAAAACCAAACCAAGGTGGAGCAATTGTGTCTCATCATTTGGATTAGCGAACTCCCATAGCCTTGAAACACGAACACAGATGCGTGGGTTGTCAGCACCTAACTCAAGCTTAGAGAGCATGCTGTAGGCCATCTGAAAGCAAGGTAAAAGTTTCTCATTAGTGTGAAGGCCCTCCTAAGAAGTAGGAGCTGCATGTAAACAGAGAACAAAGCTTACAGCAAAAGATCCTGAGAACATAGAGAAACATTTTTGCACAAGAACACGATAACAGAGCTGATAAAATAGCCACCAAGAACAACAGAGCAGCAGCAAACATGGACGTTGTCACTTGGTTCTAGGTACCAGAATCCTACATTTTAAAATGAAATTAGCACCTTAAAATATATCCCAGCACTCTGGATAAACATGGTTCGTGTCACGTGGAAATCAACAATCGAGAATATACCATTAATCTGACTGCCTCCAGCACCTCATGGTATACCACGTTTCTAGTCTTAGAACTACACGCGCCATCGTCGTCCTTAATAAGGATCCTAAGGCCATCTCTAGAGGTCGATCTAGATACAGCAACATACAATTGGCCATGTGTGAAAACTGCTTTTTTAAGGTAGACCCCAACCCTTGAAAGTGTCTGTCCTTGGCTTTTGTTAATTGTCATGGCATAGCACACACGTACAGGGAATTGCCTTCTTTGAAGTACAAAAGGCCACTTAGAACTCGTAGTGCTGAGCACAATTCTTGGTATGAATGCTCTTTCGCCAACGTTTGATCCAGTCAAGATCACACATTCTAAGAGACGATGCCCGAGAGAAAGGACCAACAATCTAGTTCCATTGCACAAGCCAAGGGATTGATTTAGATTCCGCAGCAACATTACTGTTGCGCCTTTTTTCAGTGCAAGCCTATGCGTCGGGAAGTTGTTGGCATTGATGGAGTTTAAAAATTCAGTTGGGTACAAAATGTCGAAGTCAGGTATGTGTTCGGATGTTTTTGAAATAGTGTCACAACTAAGGTACTCTTTCATTTCACCAGGTATCATAGCAACCATGTAGTCATTTATCTCGTCAACTGTTGAGTTATTTGGGCAGACAATAGCACGCGATGCTAGGTAAGAAGAATCTGTGTATCTATGCACATAACATGGGAAAACCTCATTTACTATTGAATATATTTTGTCATCCGAAGCTCTAATTAGTAGATCATCAGGGATATCAATCCAGGTCGCCTCAGACTCATCGATCCTTTTTGATACTGGTAGCATACCATCCCCAAGCGCTAAGACCCATCGAGCAAATTGTTCAAGATCATGACGGCGTCCCTCAGAAAGACCGGACTGGAAGAGCCTCATGTTAACAGTGAGTTTAAGAAGGACAACATGTTGCCAAAGCGGTGAATTTGTTATAGATGCGTCAACTATAGAATTGCGTGTCCCCTTTTTAATAACCGGTAATATCTGCCTGAAATCACCACCTAGGACAACAAATTTCCCACCAAATGGCAGCACACTATTTGAAGGGTTATGTTCTGAAAGCAAATCTCGCAACGTTCGGTCTAAGGCCTCAAAGCATCGTCTATGTGTCATGGGAGCTTCATCCCATATAATAAGGGACGTTTTCTGAATAAGTTCTGCAAGCATTGTTCCTCTTTTTATACTGCATATGCTATTTTCATCTATATCAATCGGTATTTTGAACCTAGAATGGGCAGTGCGCCCTCTAGGGAGAAGAAGCGAAGCGACTCCTGAGGAAGCAACTGCAAGAACAATATTTCCCTCAGACCTTATCTTAGAAATGAGCACGTTCCACAAAAACGTTTTGCCAGTGCCACCATGGCCATACACGAAGAAAAATCCAGGCCTCGACTCACTAACACGGCTAACTATTGTGTCAAAAAAATTTTGTTGTTCAGAGTTTAGTCGTGGTATCATCAGGCTGGCATGAGCAGCCAAGGCAGCAGTATCAAGAGCCAATTCTTCGTTGACCATTCTATTTCCAAATTCATCATCTGAATGTATCGTTGATCGCGGGAGGTCATAGTCATCTATGTTACCACCGCTGTTTGCAAATGCAGAGTGTAATTCTTTAATCAAAAGAGACAGCAACCTATCATGTGGAACAACATAAGCAGGGTTTGAGAGCGCTGTTCTAAGGCGATGCTGAATGTCATCAGTAAAGTATAACCAATACTTATCAAACAATGATCGGACGTTTCCAACAGAGCAGAACATTACAACAGTCACAAATAGTTGCCTTAACTGCAGGGACGACGCAGAAACTATCGCCTCATCAAACAACAAATGCCAATCGTTATCATTCTCAAGAAGGCCTCTAGACTCACATGCCTGCCTAAAAGTTGGGTAAACAGTCCCTTCAAAGGTCCGAACATCAGCATAGCTTTTTGCGCCTTTAACTGTCATCAACAGCATGCGCAGGTAGTATAGCTCTCCAGCGGCTGGGCTGACATAATAAATTCTACCAATTTTTTCGACTGGTGTCCTTGGGCGCCAACAGCGGGCGCTATTGTCCCAGGTCCATTGTTTTGGGAAATCACAATAGGTCAGTGTTCGTGCATTTGGATGCTTTTTATTACACTCGAACCACTCTGTTAGCATTGTTTTTTTTGCAGCAGGACTGTCAAGCAATTTTTTTAGGTCGGTTCCTTTTTTGTACTGAACAAAATTCATATTTGGAAGATGAATAGGCAACCGTTCCACAGCAGGAACTCTATAGTGTATGTCAAACTCGAAAGCACGCCAAAAGGCTTCACAGGTTGAGAGGAACCTAGCATTGATGTACTCATCAATCTCATTTGGTGGCAAAACAGTACCATCAACAGTCTTGTTTGGTGTGTTGCCAGTTGTTTCAAAGTATAGTTTGGTTCTATCACCACCCTTTGTTATGTACTTGAAAAGGTATTTTATCATGTTGGATTTGTTGCATGATTCAACGTTAATGTGCGCTTGGTATTTTTTCAGTAATTTCATGTTGTATGGAACGACCCATCGATTGTCAAGTTTAATTCCATTCTTAACCACATATCGTCCATCATTTCGACGCCTATATACAGTAAAGCCAAACTCATCCATGGTCGTCTCTTCTTGGAAGCCTTTAGGGAAATGCTTGGAGCAATGCCCATTTTTCATACAGACACATGATTTATTCTTGTCACCACAAGGGCCATGGATCATAAACTCATCGACTAAGGCATAGCCCAAAGGATCACTAAACACATCAGGAATTTCAGCACAAATTAAACTGTCCACAGCGGTAGCACTAAATTCGGCGTCAGCTGCTGCACGCCACACAATACAGTGTATGTGCGGGAGACCACGCTTTTGGAATTCCACGGTATACAACACTACATGGAAGCATGGATATCAGCAGGAACAGTACTAACATGACAAAATGATATAGGAAAAAACATGTCTAGATGACGTCTACCTGCCAGCACAGGACCGAAGGTCCTTCCCTCCTTAATATCGGATATGAATTCATCGACCTTCATGCTAAAGACTCGTACAATCATGTCAGACCGATCGCTCGGCACCTGGCCTGGTTCAAACACAAGGGCATCGTATATCTCTTGCCATTTGGAGTTGCACGTGAAGGTCACGAATAGGTCGGGCGAACCGAACACGCGGCAAACAGCCATTGCGTCCTGGTAATTCTGGACCATGTAGCGACGACCTCCAGTGAAACTTGATGGCAAGACGTACTTTTTGCCAACAGAATCACCAGATTCGAGGCCATGGTCAATGGCATCGACAATCCCTTGAACACACTCTGAACGTAACTCAGGTTGGTGGTCATGTATAAATTTCAGCCTCGATCCCTCAACAGTTGAGTATGCATCCACACATATCGAGTCACTAAGACGGCCACAACATGTATATGGATTCGGTTTGTTTAGCCTATAATGAAAGCGATATCGATAGTATTCAAGCATTGTCACGTATCGCCGTGATGTTCCAGCAATACTCGGGAAATCAGTGTACTTTATACCGAGGTGGAACCCTCGTTCACCGTAGGGGAAAAGCAAAGGATATTGCAAAGCCATGTAGGAAGGATGCAAAGCAGAGACTTGTCTCAGCCTATTATCCGAAGACTGGACAACCACATCATACGTGTACGCATCGTTTGAGCTGTCGCCCACTATTATTCCTGCGATCTCACCACTCGTTGGCAGGTTATATTGGACTTCATCTTTAGCATTGCACCCAAGCAGTCTAAGTGCAATCTGCTCATTACCATGCTCGTTTAAACGATCTCTAGCATAGCGAAACGATTTGACCAGATCATTGTGTTGGTCGAGCATAGCGCCAAGTCCTGTAACAATTGATGGGTCAGGCTCATCGTTTGAGTTTTCTCTATCGAAAATGTTAATTCGGTTAGCGGTTTCATTCTCGGTGTCATATATGTATAGCTGAGCAAACTTGGGCTTCGCACCACGCTGAGGCAAGAGGCTGCCAATACGATGGTGCACAACGCCGTTAATTTTAAAGACATATGGTGCGGTTCCATTGTTAATTGACTTTTCTACATCAGCCCCTAATGAAGTGAATGCAAAAAGCGAGTTGTAAGATCGAATTTGGCGTAAGAAACGCTTTGATTGTGCATCACCATCAAATTTCAGAAGCTTCGCTAACATATCCGGTGGGTATTTTAGTTCAGGCAGGCTGATCTTACCACCCCTACAGCAGAGATTATAGACAATCCTTCTCTGAGAAACAGCACTATCTCTCTTTACCCTCTCCTGGTACCAAAAAACGGCACCACAATAAGGACACTCATGCGAAGGGCCACCATAGTATGATCGCTCTGGGCACAAAGCTGCATTGTTTGCAAGCATTAACAACTGCATTGATTGACAGAAAGGAAGCTATGTAAGACAGCAGACACCGAGCAAACCTTTTAAGGACGCAATGTAATCCTTAGGTAAAGGCAAGATGTCATCCACTGTAGGAACGGGACCTATGCATTCGAAATCCCAGGAAGCAAGCATCGGTGAAAGCAAAAATGGTTAGCAGACATAACTGCCACACTAAGCGAGCACAGGGGAAACAAAAGGTATATTTAACCATACCTTCTAGGATTTTTCTTACCAGGTGGTCTGGCTGAGAACCAGACCTCTTGAGGCGTCGTTTTTCCCTGTTTGCTGCAGCAGTGTGGCGCGGCACATCTAGTAGGGTTCTCTTTCCTAATCGCAATGAGGAGAACAAAGGAGCTAAGCATAATCGACATTGTCAGGAGTTATGGAGCCCATGGGACAACTATCGCTCAACTTACTGCTAGCGGTGGTTATGGAATTCTGGGTCAAAGGACCTGTGCCAGCAACAAAGGCAACCTGAGACCGCACATGAACATCAGAAGCCAGAGCTTGTTCAGGAACCGACTGCTCCACATCTATTCCAGCATTTGGCGAACCATTTGGTCCCCTAGAGACCACAGGATTTACGCCGCCGAACAGAGGAGCCTGCAAAAATGCTATAAACCCCAACTATCTGGTTGATCAAACTTATCGATCTAACCCAAGAAGCGCCTCTAAATCAAGTTAAGAAGCACAAACCCTGGCCAATAGAAGCACGGCGTCGCAAACGGCTCTCACGGGCCCGTTGAACTCGCGGAGAGGGATTACTCGTCATAGCTCAGAGGCAACAACACAGCGGATAAAAGGGGAGCTGTTTTTTCGTCGTCAGATCAGTCGTAAGAAAGAGAGCACCGAACTAACCGAAAGCAATGCACAAAAGAAGAACATAAGATCGAAAGCAGACAATACAAAACATTATGTAATAACATCATAAAGGCACACTCTCATTGCAGACAAACTCAGTAGCGAAAAACACTAACACCCTCTAAAGGAAACAAAATACCCCTAAAGGTTGTGCATGTTGCTAAACATGTGGTCCTCATGAAGAAAATTGAACCATATAGTGTTACATCGCTGGACAACACCAGCACACGATAGATCTGTCGGAGCATATCGTGACTGGAACCTAGCAAGGCACGCTGAGGCTGTAACAGCTGCATCTACTGTAGACGCTGCTATTCTCCGGTAGGAAAGTAACATCTGAAGATTGTAATCGTGGACAATAAAGCCGTACCTAGCCTGCAAGAACCTAACAGCCTGATGCGCGCCCATTTCATGCGAGTCACTTGTTTGAGTAGACGCGCAGACCCAAAAGAACTTGCTAACAATCTGGCCGGCCATGTCTTCCGATGGGAGCGCAAGCTCAACACCTGCTAGCAGCATGCCATTCCCATCTATTTCCCAAAGATAGGACACCAGCGGGAGCTGACAATGCCAAGCAACGGCATTCAACAGAGAGACAAATGAGACCCCCACATTAACCATGGCGCTGCTAGATGGGGCCTAGGTGAGTGGTAGAAAGGAAGATCTGGAAGGTTGGTCAAAAACCAGCAAGAGCAACCTCTACGCAAGAGGCAAGTGCCCAGAGAAGTTTGGGTTATATAAGAAGAGGGAGGCAGCCAGTACTGGTACGCGGGCCTGTACGGGCCCATGCACAGTAATCTGTGAGGCACCAACTGGCATTATTTTCTCACGCACACAACATAGCAGGATGGCAGACACAACAGAGGCCACCGAGAAAAGAACCCAGACGAAAAGGCAAGGGCAAACATAAGAACAAATAGAAAGGAAAAGCAGGGGGAAAATCAGCGAAGAAAAGAGCAGCAACCTCTTCGAGCCGGTGCAGGCACACTCTGATGGAAGGAGATCAACTTGCCCTCGACCGTGAACTGCCAGCGACCAACAGGCGGTAGAGCAATGCGACCGCCTCCCCTGCCCCTGCCCACAGCAAGCAAAACGAAAGGATGAAGAATCGACCATCCAGGACACAGCACATCAAGGAAGCAACTAACCAGTGCGAGAACACCAAATCCTACGCAGCAATGCTGGCGGAAATCCCACACGCAGACCTGCACACCAACCGTGTAGCGTCAAACCAACCAACCAAATCGCATGAGGAAGACATCTGCTAGGTATGGAGGTAGCAACCCACCAAGCTGTCGGCATGGCTGAAGAAGTCAGCAGGAGAGGGAAACAGCAGAGCAGAGCAAAGCAAAAGCGGAGGAGACAAACAAATCTCTCAGGTGGTGTTTAGATCCAGGGACTTAACTTTAGTCCCTGTCTTTAGACACTAATTTAGAGTATTAAATATAGACTACTTACAAAACTAATTACATAAATAAAAGCTAATTCACGAGACAAATTTTTTAAGCCTAATTAATCTATAATTAGAGAATGTTTACTGTAGCATCACATAGGCCAATCATGGATTAATTAGGCTCATTAGATTCGTCTCGCAAATTAGTCCAAGATTATGGATGGGTTTTATTAATAGTCTACGTTTAATATTTATAATTAATTTTCAAACATCCGATGTGATAGGGATTTAAAAGTTTTAGTCCCATCTAAACAGGGCCTCACAATGGGGAGGAAGAAGCTGAAGGCAAAACAGGACATTGCCCCATTGATGATCACGCACGCTGGTATGGCGGACGCCGACGTTGATTGGACCTCACCTGACAGCGGGCCGGTGCAAGCGGTGGGCATTAAAACATGGCGCAGCAGGGAGGCAATCTATTTGGCGCCGTGCAGCAGGGAGGCAATCTATTTGGCGCACCAGAGCATATGGCATGTGGGACAGCGCAAAACAGCGAGCCCACCCGCAGAGGGTTTACAGAGGAGACGTTGTGTGGTGACTTTTTTTCAATGCAAGCCCAACGGAATACACAGCGGATCAAAGCGATGTAGCAGACCAAAATAGCCGTGGGCCTGGTCCATCACGCATGCACACCGTAGGCCGAAGGGCTCTACCTGGAGCACGGTAGACCAGGTGCTGCATATAAGCATTCGGCGGAGCACGCATGGCAGGTAGGCAGGAGCAGAGTCATGCCGTTAGGGAGCCGTGCAAACTGCACCATTGGTCAAGCATGTCAGGGTGTTAAAAACCCTGTACTCCATGTGCACTGTGAACCAAAGAAGCTGCAAGTGGGGCACGCAGAGACAGGTCCAGAAACCTAAGGCAATGGACTAAGCGCACAGGCAACGAAAGCATTGATAGGACCATGAACAGCAACCCACATCCCTCCCTGCCCCACATAGCAGTGACGGTGCGAGTACGCTTATGGGTTCACACAACACAGCCATGGGTTCACACAACACAGCCACACCAAATAGGGCGACGTGGACACAAGCAGGTGCGAACACGCCGGCCCAAAAACGCCCGGAGCGCTGTGGTGCGAGCACTTCGCGGTTGTCTTTAATTTCCCCGATGTCAGAGAGGATTCTCTTCCCCTGTGCAACTTCTACACATGGCTTGCTGCTGTGCATACTGTACTGGTGGTGTACAGTACTGTATAGGAGTAGCAAGCCACTCTCTACACATGGCTTGCTTCTACACATGTTTGTTTTCCCTTGTTCACCTCTACCGCGTACAGAGTACAGAGGTACTAGGACACGAAAACATAAAATTACGACAGGAAAATAATTCATTAGTTCATATTTAATGAATTTTAATTATTATGAACTTGAAAATTGATTTATCTAATATTTTAAAACAACTTATACGGACCTGTTTGACACAGCTCCAGCTAGAGGTGTAAGTGGGTTAGCCACGAACCCACTTGTAGGTCCAAATAATCGGGTTCGCGGCTTATTTTAGCTTATAAGTGGGTTTCGCGGGTTAGCCACTTACACCCCTAGCTCTAGCTCCAGCTCCACCCATCCTGGAGCTACAGCTCAGCCAAATAGTTTCAGCTCCACCAAAACTGGGAGCGGAGCTAGGTGAAGCTCTCTCATAAAATGAACTAGAGTTGTGGAGCTAGGTTTAGGGCTTTAGGCAGCTCCACAACTCTACTCCAGACTCAACTCCTGAAGCTAAATTTAGGAGTTAGAGTTGTACCAAACAGGCACTACATACAAATTTTTCGCACGAAGTTTATCGTGGAGCGGTTTAAAATGTGTTAACGGAAATCAAAATAAAATTTGTATCTTAATTAGAAAAAAGGGGGTCAGAGTATGTATAAGGGCTAGGTTGAAGAATTTTAGTCCTATAAAAGTTTTCCTACATAGCCATTTGGATCGAAGGAATAACTATCCAAAAATCGTATGAAATACCTTTGAATTGGCTCAAAACATAGGAGTTATCGAGGAATTCCTCATGGATAAATATTTTGTCTATATCTCTTTTAATTATGTGTTTTTTCATACGCTCCATCAAATAGTTATTTCTATATTTTTTTCAAAATGTAGAATAAAAGATGTTAGAGCACTCTAATCAGGGGTATTTCCCATGCATCTTGAAAATCCACAGTTTTAAAGAAGCTCTAATTTAAGTAGAGTACCGCTACTAGTCACACAATTTTGATTTCCATGTATTTACTACTCGTATTCAGCTCTTTCCTGTCTGGTCAAGGGAGCACTAGGCGCAGAGGAAGGGAGAAAAAGCAGCGCAGAGAAAGGGAGAAAAAGCAGCGAGCGATACGTGATCACGGAGATGACGACTACGGCCGAGTAGGGGTGAAAACGGAGCGAATACGGACGGATAATGCTCTTACCGTATCCATTTTCATATTGTTAGGCGGATACGGAAACGAATACGAATAACTCGGATACGGAAACGAATACGAATTATCGCGGATACGAATAAGGATCGAATATGATCGGACACGAATACGAAAACGAATATTTCTCGGAATATAGAGACCACTCAAACTGCTCGTAGATACAAATGCACCACATATATTTATCTAATTTAATATAAATATCATCGTTGTAGGACGCATCACAGATTAAACAAAGTGTATCGTGTTCAAATCGAAACACGTTGAAAAGTTCAACACATATTGAGTTCGAGTTCTATAGGTAACACAGATAAGATCAAAATAGTAATTAGCCCAAAGCAATTTTCAGTACACTTGCAGTCCGATGCATGAAAACTGCAACATCATTATTCATCCATTTCATCCATCAGAACATCATCCTGTTCCATGTCATCATTATTCTCCTCTTTTTCCTACAGGAGTCGAATAATATTGTTGTTATATTAAGAAAAATATTCATAGAGGTAAAATAAGAAAATAGCTCACCACTATCAATAAGTTTGCCAGATGCCTCTCTACGCTTTCAATGTCCAATTCATTGATGATAGCCTGAGTCTTATAACCTAAGAATGATGCCAGATCAGATCATGGATCAGCTATACATATATTGATATATACAAGAAGGAATGGCCAAATAAGCAATGAACACAGACACAAAGTGTACTATTGTTAGCTGCTTTAATCCAATCTTTGGTGCAAACTAAAGCTTGCACAGCCTCTGGATCAAGACGGGTGCGAAATGGATCAACAACACGGCCACCAGCACTAAATGCCGACTCAGAAGCAACAGTTGACACTTGAATACATAAGAAATCACGAGCAAGTTTGCAGAGGATAGGAAATTCTGCTTGTTTGAGCTTCCACCAAGACAAAATATCAAATGGATCTTTGGAAGTCCATAGTAACAGTGGTTGTTCCATGTAAATTTGTAACTCAGTTTTATCACTACAAATTGGCTGACTTCTCTCAAGCAAAAATCTTTGAAAATGTTGCTCATGATCATGGCTACTGTCATTCTCATTAAAGATATCATCAAACTCATCAGTATTATGAACAGGATCAGGTTGAATTTGAAGTTGATGCACATGCATTTCAGCACCTTTCTTCTTTGATGTTGCACACGCACTAGTAGCATAAACATCAAACAATTTTTTGATAACCCCATTGAACTCATCAAATTTTTCTGCAGCTTCTAAACCATAAATCTTCATACCATAGTACTCTATTGAACTTGTTTTGTAACGTGGATCAAGGAAGCATGTAACAGCAAGAGCCATATTCGACTTCTCCCAGTACTTATCATATTTAGTTTGCATGGCGTTTGCCATGGTTTTTATTGTTCCATCTGTACTGTTACACCAATCAGCAATATAAAGCTTGATGGAACAAAACTTACCGAAAAAATGATTTGCTGTTGGATATGTAGTACCAGAGAATAGTTCAGTTGCTTCATGAAATGGCTTCAAGCACTTGCATAGTGCTATTGCCATAGACCAGTCTACCTTGGTGGGAGCACACTTTGCATACTTTCTACCATGCCGAAGAAACAACCTATCAAAAGCATTTCTGTAGTAGATAGCATTCTTCAACATGAGAAATGTGGAGTTCCATCTTGTAGGAGTATCCATGGAAAGGCCCTTTGTGTTATCCAAACTAACTTCCAAGGCACACTTCTGAAATGCCTCAAACTGCAGTGGCGAGTGCTTTAGAATTGAAATAGTATTTCTGATCTTTAATACAGCTCATGTGATTTGTTTCAAACCATCTTGTGCAACAAGGTTCAAGATATGATTGAAACATCTCACATGAAAGAAGATGCCATCGCAAATTAAAGGAGAGATTTTACGGAGTTTTAAAATAACATCCTTAACACAAACATCATTAGACGATGCATTGTCCAAAGTAAGTCCAACAAGCCTTCTATCAAGATTCCAATCAACTATGCTGTCATAAAACTCTTTGCACATATTACTTCCTGAATGATGTCCTTCTACATGCATAAACTTAATGATCCTCTTTTGCATCTTCCAAGTGTCATCTATCCAATGAACTGTGATGCACATATAACTTTTATTTTGGTTAGATGTCCACATGTCCATGGTTGTGCTAAAACGGCATGAGAGTGTAAGCAAATGCTGCCACAATTTCTTCTTTTCCTCTTCATATATGTTTAGAATATCCTTTCTCACAGTAATGCGACTCTTAATTGGAAAAGTAGGGCGTAAAGACTTAATAAAATCCACAAAGTAATCATGCTCAACAATGTTAAAGGGATACTCATGCATGATGATTGCCATATAGAACTTTTTCAGGCTAACCGTCTCATCATACCTGTATGTCTCAACAGCTCCTTCAGTACCATCTTCACTCTTTTTCATCTGTAGATGTTGTTGACCTGACTTGATGTTGTGCTTGTTATTCAAGTGATTCCAGAAAACAGAAGTGCCACAATTACTCTCACACCGACGTTTATATGAGCACTTGTTGCATTTAGCATACTCCTCTACAATCACAGTGTCACCTGACCCATTCTTGCTTACCTTATATTTAGCATACTCCTCTACAATCACGGTGGTGACGGCTCCTAGCCTCCCACTGTCCCACGATTTAGGGAGATAGGAAGCACAAACAAGCACTAGGGGGATTGAAGGCCAATGCCCAGCAACTCCAGCAAGGAGCCAAGGAGATCTAAGACAGCCGCCGCCACTGTCGCCGGCTTGCCGCTGCCGTCGTCACCGCCGCCGCCGCCGTCGCCCATCTGGCAGCTAGGGTTTAGATAGCCGAGAGAAAACTATGTGCTGAAATTGAAGGGATGGGCTGGAGGCTGGAGAGACATCAAGCGTTACGCGGATATCCGCGCATCTTAATCTCCGGATATTCGGCTCCGTATTCGAATTCGCCGGAAACTGCGTTACCATATTCGTATCCGTATCCGGAGAAAAAATATCCGTATTCGTATCCGTATTCGAACTATCCGAAAAAAATCTGCTCCGAACACTATCCGTATCCGTTTTTGACCGGAGCGGACGGAAACTATCCGCTCCGTTTTCACCCCTACGGCCGAGAGATCCTCTCAGCTCCCGAAACCCGACACGCGGCACCGATCGATCGATCGATCGATCGTTACGGCTCGGATCATTATTTGGCCACGCTCCACGACGCGAGGAGAGAATCCCGAGGACTCGACGCGCCGCGATGTTCAAACTACAAAGGCTGCTGCTGCTGCGCCTCTGCACCACCTCCACCTCCACGCCTCCACACGGTATCACCACTTCCGCCGCCGTTGCCGCCGCCGCAGCCGCCGCGGCATACGCGTACGCGGAACCGCTAGGCCTCACCCGCGCGCCCTTCTCCTCCTCCGCCTCGTCGCCAGCCGAGACGATGGCGTCCGCGTCGCCGCCGCCGTCGACGTGGGTGATCCTGGGCAGCATCCCGCGCGTCTGCGGCGCCGACGAGAAGGGGGCCGGGGGCGGGATCCCTGCGGGCGCCGATCTCTCCCTCGCGCTCAAGGCGCCCCCGCGCGTCTCGCTGCTCACCATCCCTTCGCGGATCTTCCCGAGCGCCACCACGTCCGACAACTTCCCCAGCGTCATGGCCGCCGACCCCTCCGGCCTCCTCCTCCTCCACGCCGACCAGGGCCGCGCCAAGGGCCCCACCGTCATCGACCGCCCCGGCCGTCAGGAGTTCATGTGGCGCCAGTTCGTCCCGGGCTACTTCGTCCTCGACGCCGCCACGGCCACCGCGGTCGCTCTCCCCGACCCGGAGCTCGTCATGCACATGGGCCACATGGGACTCCTCGCCTCCCCCGACGGCGGCGGCCGCTACGTGGTCGCCGAGCTCCAGCCCATCCTCCACGCCGACCACGCCACGCTCCTCTGCTTCTCCTCCGACGTCGGCGAGTGGGTCGAGAAGGAGGTCGCCTACCCGTTCCCTCCCCGGCAGTTGGCCCCCAACGGCGCCGTCTCGCACTCCGGGAGGCTCTGGTTCGTCGACCTCTCCTGGTGCCTCATCACCTGCGACCCCTTCGCCCCCGCGCCGGCGCTGCGCTTCGTCCCTCTCCCGCCGGGCAAGGAGCTGAGGTGCAGGGAAGCTTGGGGAGTGCTCGACAAGTACCGCTGCGTGAGGGTGAGCGCCGGCAAGCTGCGGTTCGTGGACATGTACAAGGCGACCGCTCCCCATCAGCGCGGTCCTCACAAGATCAGCGTGTGGACGCTGGCCGATCCGGACTCCGAGGAGTGGACACTGGAGCACGAGGCGAGCTTCGCCGAGATCTGGGCCGACGACAGCTACAAGGCGACCGGGCTGCCAGACAAGATCCCCGTGCTCGCGCTCATCCACCCCGAGAACCCGGACGTGGTCTACTTCTTCCTGGAGGAGCACCTCTTCGGCGTCGACGTGCGCGCGCGCAAGGTTGTGGGGTCTGAGGTCTACGAGCTGGTCGCGCCGCCGAGCGAGGTCCTCGCTACTCGCTTCGTCCGCGCTTGGGAGCTGCCACCGGCGCTCTCCTCAGGTAATGACCACGGTCACCACGCATCCTGGCATCTGAGGTGCATATTTCTGGATGAATTACAATCCCATTTGTGTACTTGACAACAATGTGTTGATTTATTGCTTATGCACCTTGATCACTTCATTGATATCTTGTTCATTCATTCTTTTAAAGTTATCATCGCTCTCATATGGCTTTTGTGCATTGTAAATTTGTGATGTATTTTGCTGTAGCACATCATTCCATTCAGATGTAGTATCTGCATAAGCCTGTTGCATAAATGTGGGGTCATGTGTTATTCCATCCAGATGGAGTATGATTTTGCACAGTGTCCGAAAATCATACCCGTTCTTACATTCTGTTTTCTAGAAGTGATACTTCTTAATGTTGATGCTTCTGTTTCTGTCAATAGTATTGTTATCTTGATTATACAGAAAATGACATCTGAACTCGATAGCCACTGCTATTTTCTTGTTTGGTCTCTACAACCATCTCTCACGCCATGTATTTCGTCACACACTTTGTGGCCTGTGCCATCCAAATAGTAACTGTAGATGTGTTTTCATTTTATATTGTTTGATCAGTTACAAAGTCTAGATAAATTTGTCTGAGTGCCCATCAGTATTACTAATATCTTGTGCCAAATTTTCTTTGATCCAGGTTCGAACTGAGTACTGACCATATGATGTTTTGTGAAGGTCTGGTATGGTAAACTCTGCATCGATGGCTGGTTTTTTGACAATGGTGGGGGTCCTAGTGTGCTCAGTAACTTATGCTGTTTTTTGTTCATCAGTTGGTGAAATGTTAGGTAGAATTTGGAATATCTTGCAATGCCTTTTATATCTATTAGTTGTATCCTTACTTTCATGGATGAAGAACTGTAATCCAAATGTACGCTTGGAATTGTAATGCCATGACTCTTTCAGTAATTCCTGCAGCTTGTCATCCATACAGATTATTTGATGCAGTACTGTTACGCTTGGAATTGTAATGCTATGTGAGGTTATTAACTTATTACCATCTCATGTATGCTAAGCTATATTACTTGGCTAATTTGTGTCTTTGGATGGAACAATATTGTCTCTTGAGTTACTTCAAGCGATGCGCTTTCAGAGTTTCAGTGCCCTAAAGGCTAAAGCTGCAATGCTGTTACGCTCTCTTGAGTGTGGTTCTATTGCTTTCGTGCGTTTGGTGATCCATGCTATAGCTTACACTGCTCTATGAACTTCACCCTATTTTCTCAGCTAAACTTGCTTATGAGACGCTTGCTTCTGGTTGTCATGTGTATACATTAATACTGATTCAATTTTCATTTGCTTTTCGAAGTCCATTTTTCAGTAGTCCTCATGGCTTGTAGGTTTTCAGCTGCTTTCTGCTAAGTACATCGATGGAGTTTTGGACAGTGAAACAGTTTTTCGGGTACAGTTTAATTTTACAACTAGGAAAAAAATCGGTGTTCGTAAACATATTCAAATTTCGTTGGACATTCTGAAGACGATTCTAGCTTTATCTCTTTCAAGTCGTAAAGTCTGAAACTCTGAATACCTTTGGCAAAGCTCACATGCACGATCCAAGAAAGAAAACTGAAACACGTAGGAGTAGTATTACACCGTAGAGTAATGTACTGTACTCGTTTGATCACGAGACAAACCTAGCATCACAACAGGTCACAGCTGGACGCAACGGCTCGATCTCCAGTCCAGTCCGAGTCGAGACAAAGCGAAGGAATTAAAACTCGTACGGACACTCTCCGACGAGGCGACAAGCCAAGCCATTTCCCCTCCTCGCCGCCGCAACGCCTTCCAAAATCAAACCCTAGCCTAGCCTTCCCTCACTCGCCTCGCCTCCTCCAACCAAATTACCAACCCGAAACCCGCTTGTCTCCTCCCGCGGGAGCACGGATGTCGTCACCACCGCCGGCCACGCTGTCCACCGCCGCCGCCGACGTGTCCCATCCCGCGCCCGACGCGCCGGCGGGCTCCACCGTCCTCGCCGCGCCGCCGTGCGTCTCCCTCGACCCCGCCGCGCCGGCGCACCAGCAGCCCGCCGACACGGTGTCCGCGCCGCCGCCGCCGTCGTCGACGTGGGTCATCCTGGGCAGCATCCCTCGCGTGAGCGCCGCCGCGGACGGCGAGCTCCCCGTGGGCGCCGACCTCTCCGTCGCGCTCGCGGCGCCCCCGCGCGTCGCGATCCTCACCATCTCCCCGGACGTGTTCCCGGAGCCCCCCACGCCCCGCTTCTTCCCGTTCGTCCTCGCCGCCGACACCTCGGGCCTCCTCCTCCTCCAGGCGAACCTGGGCATCCCCATGAGCCGCGAGGTCGTCGACCGCCCGCACCGCCAGGGTCTGAGGTGGCGCGACGCCGCCTCGCGCTACTTCGTCCTCAACGCCACCACCGCCTCGGCGTTCCACCTCCCGGACCCCGAGGAACCCATCCTGCACCAGGCCCTCCTCGGCCTAATCGCCTCACCTCGCGGCGATGGCCACTACATGGTCGCCGAGCTCCAGCCCCTCATCGGCTGCGACAAGGCCACCCTCCTCTGCTTCTCGTCCGAGGTTGGGGAATGGGTCGAGAAGAGCGTCCGTTACCCGCTCCCGCCCCGTCCGTTGGCTCCCATCTGCGTGTTCTCGCATCACGGGAGGCTCTGGTGGGTCGATCTCACCTGGGGCGTCATCACCAGCGACCCCTTCGCCGACGAGCCGGTGCTGGGCTTCATCCCGTTCCCGGCGGGCAAGGTGTTGCAGTGCAGGGAAGCTTGGGGAGTGGCCGACAAGTACCGCTACGTGGGCGTCAGCGCCGGCAAGCTGCGGTTCGTGGACACGTACACCGCTCCTCGCCGCGGCGTTCCTCCGAAGGTCAGCGTGTGGACGCTGGCAGATCCGGACTCCACGGAGTGGACGCTCGAGCACGAGGCGAGGTTCGACGACATCTGGGCCGACGAGAGCTACAAGGCGACTGGTCTGTCGAAGAAGATCCCCGTGCTCGCGCTCATCCACCCGGAGAACCCCAACGTCGTGTACTTCTTCCTGGAGGAGCACCTGTTCGGTGTCGACGTGCGCGACCGCAAGGTTGTGGAGTGCGAGGCCTACGAGCTGGTTGCGCCGCCGAGCTGCTTCATCGCCAACCGCTTCACTCGCGCTTGGACTCTACCACGGGCGCTCTCCTCAGGTATTGCATCGTGCATCCCTGCATCGTCATTGTGTACTGTACTAATGTTCTGTTGCTCTGTTGCGATGTCTCTGCTCTGTATCGATTGTCTCTGCTTTATGTTCAGCAGTTCAAAGTTGGCCCTCTTCTACATAGAAGCTGTGTTGCATACTAATACTGTCCTTTCTTGCATGATCATGTAATTTCCCTTACATATGTAATATGTTATGTTTAGAATAGAAGCTAGGGCATATTTGAGAGTCTTTGGTCCATCATGAAGGGTGCCTCTGTGGTTCTATACAATTGAGCTTCAGTAGTTAACTATTTCAGTAGTAAGTGTAGTAAAAAAGCTTGTAACTTCCAACTAAAAAATGCTTTCAATTTGATTGCATCACAGATTATAAGCTTTTCAACTTGAACATTCAAAGTTTGAACATGATATTTCCAATTCTCTACATGATTATTAGCTTGAACATTCACTTAGTGAAAAAAACTGTACTGGAAACTTCCAACCTTCCTTGTCGAATTAAAAATTTTCTACTGAAAGTTTCCGACTTTACCTTATTTAACAGTTTAACACTATCAAAAAGTTCCGCTCATTGCTTAACTCGTGAGTATTGAGGCCCATCACGTTGTTCAATTAGGATGTAGTTTGCTAACTCGTTCTTTTCACATATCCATGTTCATGCATATGCTTTGTTTCAAGAATATTGTTCATTTGTTCTTGTTGAGACTATGGCACTATGCTGGTTGATTGCGCCCGGATTTCGAAGAAATCTCCATGGTTCCCATGTGGCATTTCATGGTAGAATGGTAGACTGTTCCAGTTCAAAGAAACTTTTCTGGAAGACTAGTCAGTGTAAATTTATTTGTTAATTTGAGACAGTAGTGCAGCATATCATGCTAACGTAGCCTATTTGACTTTATTCATATGCATGTCTTCACATACATGTTATGTGGGCATATATGCATGGCTAGTTGTTCAGCATTTGCCTTTGCCTTAACCTACGTAGTTAGAGGCTTCATGCAATAGATCAGGATGCTTCATGTTATAGATTTGTAAATTTTCTTTCTCCTTGTCCCTAACTAGGACATGGTCAGAGAGGATCTACAATAATATTTTGGAAAGGGCTACTGATCTTATCCACATTGCGATGGTTTCAATATATATGTAAATTGATATTATGTCTTGTACATGTGTATAAACTGATGCTAGGAGACTAGTATTCTTCAGTCGTATTTAGGACAGTGGAGTAGATATCTGTTGTTGGTGCTTTTGGAAATTTGAGTGTGTGAGACTATTAGTGGCAAGAGTATACTAGAACAGCATTATAAGTGAGTACCAAATAGCATCAGAATTTTGACATCCATTGCATTTTCCTATATACGAATTCGGTTTAGATTTATTTTGTGGCACTAGCAAGCATATCATCAGAATGATTTAGCCATGAATTTTCAGCATAGATGTTGTGTGGTTAGACCTATTTCCTATTGCTAGCAAACACTTAAAACAAGTTGAGTAGCTAATGCCATCCAAGGACTACATTTTACCCCGTAAGATTGATCCCATCTGCAGAGTTTCAGATCTGCCTATTGGCTTGTGTGTTTGACTTCTATTGATTTCTTGTGTTTGAACATGAAGGGATCTCCAATTGGTCTAATGCCATCAACCTGGCTGAAAAGGCTAAATCCCGACCATCCCGGCGAGCTGCTAAGAAAAGTAGCAGGATGATGGGATCGCCTGGAGATTATCACTTGGTGGGAATTACCAGGCAGACATTCATAGGATGATCAGGAACATGGAGCAAGAGGTTATGGCTAACTGTATCCTAGGTGAGCTATGTTTGTGTATGCATCATCTTGGTTCTCTAACAGTCTAACTAGCTTCGAACATCATGTGTCAACTGTAGTAACTTTCTTATGCTAAAATCTCCTTCTGGTTGCAGGTTGTTAGTAATGAACTTAACTACTTAAGTTATGGAGTGGGCGTGGGACACTGGGAAATGACAAGTACTCTCATGCTGGCATGTTTTTGGCTATCGCGGTGTACGGTGTGCCTCATGCAACAGTAACTTAAACGTGTTTTTTTGGGTCAATCAGGTGGCCAAATGTCGATGGAACATTGTTAGTTTTATTTAGATGTAATGTTGTATCCCTCCTTAGATTGAACGATGTGTTCAGCCGGCGTGATGCTTTCAGAGTTTCAGTGACCTGCAATGCCATGATACCCTTCAGACTTCAGAGATACTCATTCCCTGCATTTGGTGTTCAATGCTTATTCCTAGTAGTACTACTAGTATTTTGCTTTCAATTGGTGTTCCCTGTCTCTACATAATTACCTGTGTGGGACAATTACGACGAAATGTGCTCCCATGCGTTGGCTAGTTCAGCCTGACCGTAGCAGTAACACATAGACAGAGGACCGGACCTGTTCACTTTGATGCCAAAAAAAAAATCTTGGTAACAAAATTTTGGTATAGTTGTAAAAATATTAGTAACTTGCCAAAATTTTGGCAGGATTTCTTATATAGTTACCAAAATTTGGCAGCAAACTAAATGTATCCACTTTTTGGCAATATTACCAAAACTTGGTAAGGTTGAAAATGACATCAAAGTGAATAGGCCCAGAATGATAGAAATGCAGTAAATTTTACTGGATTTTTAGTAGTGGAAACGCATAAAATTTCACTCCACATCTATCTATCTTCTATCTATCTATCTATTATATACTAAAAGTCCATTAAATTTCCTATAAACGCTCTCAAGCCGCCACGTGGCACTTTTACAAACGCTCCTAGACCGCCACGTGGCAATGTCTAATCTCACCGTCGATTTTCACTTAAATCGGTGGACCCGGTAATTTAGACCATTAGATTAGATTAAATGTATTTTATTTAAAAAGAAACTAATACCTTACTATTCACCGGAAAAAGAAAACAAATTAAACTGATTTTAGTCCTCCCCTGTACCCCGCGCGGACATATGCATCCATCCCCGTATATACGTATGTACAGGTAACGTACTAACGTACATACGTAAGAATAGAAAACAATGAATCTTACCTTAGATTATATGTATTTTATTTAAAAAGAAACTCATACCTTACTTCACCGGAAAAAGAAAACAAAAACACGAGTACTCCATATGTATACATACGTAAGAATAAAAAACAATGAATATATTACCTACTGTTTATTGAAAGAAAAAAACTATGCACAGGCTTACTGTAAAAACAACAAAGAAAAAAAAACAAACGTGTGTAGTACCATAAAAAATCAATTATCTTTAAAATAGAGTTTTCTAATATTTAAAGATAAAATCTATTACTATATAAATTTAAGCAAATATCACCGCCGATTTTTAATTAAATTGGTGAACCCAATAGTTTAAACCATTAGATATATTTTATTTTAAAAACTAATAACTTTTTACTCCGTGTACCTATACGGGAGAACTATATAACAATTAGGGTAGAAAAAGAAAAAAAACATAAGTAGTCTCTACGTACATACGACTTGAAAAAAATAAATAAAGCTTAACCGCTATCCATCGAAAGTTTGGAAGAAAGAAAAATCTACGCACTGTGGTATTTTGAAATAGTATTATATACTATTTAAAGATAAATATATTACTCTACAAATTTACGTAAATATACTTAGTTAAACTAAATCTATGTTATAAATATAAAATATCCCATCAATGATCTTTGTTCGTTCGATCTTAACATACGAGGTTGATATATATAATAATTAATGTTTTGATAATTTCTTATTTCACATCATATTTTAGGGTGTCAAATATCACTCGACAAATATACAATGCTAATTTAAATTTATATTTGTGAAAATGAAAACAACACAATTTAGTTGTTTCATTTTACACCGTTAGATTAATTGTTTCTCCTATATACGGATATATGAGAAATATATAACTGTTGACTGGAGAAAGTACTCCGTAAGTACATATGGTTGAAAAAAAACAATAATGCTTACATATTGTTTGCCGGAATAACATAAAACGTATTTATGATAAAGCCCCCAAAAAATGGGCAGTCCTTAAAAAATATTTTTCTACAATTTAAGGATAAAAATATAATAATCTTCAAATTTACGTAAATGTAAATATAAAATATCCATTCAATGATTTTAATCATTCTATCTTTTAAATTATTTTAAAATTATATATCCAATTTGTGATCCGGTTGTATTCCTTTAAATAAATAAACTACTAATATCTATAGCCATAAATACATTACAAATATGGAGCCGACATGTAATAATTAATGTTATGATAATAATTTCACATCATATTTTAGGTGTGAAAAACACTTGACAAATATACAACACTAATTTAAATTTAAATGTACATATATATTCTCCAAATTACTAAAGGTGTCTCATGTGATTAGAAACAATAGGTGTGGAAAACAAACCGGACACTGAACGAACATGCACTACAGTATATATATTTGTCAAAATATGATACGGTACTTTGGAGATTATCGTGGTAGTATTTAGAAAATGTAACGCCCCGATTTTCGGTCGGGATTAAAAATCATTTAATAATGCATTGTCTAGAAATTAAATAAAAGATAAATCAATTTAATCAAGTGAAATTATGGAGGAAATTAAAATTTCCTTTAAAAATCATTGGCCGAGAATATTTTGTAATATTTTTTGTGCCCTAATATACTCTCCGGAATTTTCCGTGAATTTTTGGAGCTCAAGAAGTAATTTTAATAGCACAAAGTTCATTGAATCAATCAATTAAATAAAAAGAAAATAAATTAAAAACTCCCCTTCCTCCTTGGGCCATTTTCGGCCCAAGAATCCTTCCCCTCCCCCGCGGCCCGTGCGTCCCTCCCCCTCTCGGGCCTCTCTCTCTCCCCCTCGGCCCGCTCACCCTTGAAGTCTAAATAACCCCCTGCTCCCTCTCTCCCTCAGGCCGACAAGTGGGACCGCGGGACCCACTTGTCAGGTCCATCCCCAACCTTCCTCCATCCCGGCCAGCAACCGCCCGAAGCCGCCATGCCGCCCGTTGCCGCCCACGTCGCCACCGATTCCGGCCCTCCCACTCGTGCCCTCGCACCCAAACCGAGTGAAATCGGTTCCCCTCCACTTGCTCTACACTCTCCCCACGTTTCCCCCAAAAATCGCGCCGGGATCGAGCTCCACTTCACCCACGATGTCGCCCACGTCGCCGGCCGTTGCCGCTCCAAATTCGCCACTCCCCGGCCTCCCCGTTGCTCCCTCGCGCTATAAAAAGCCTCCCCGTGCTCTCCTCTTCCATTTACCCTTCCTCCCCGAGCTCCTCGCGCCCTCTCCCGTGCTCCCCACGCGAGCCCAAGCGCCGCCGCTCGCCGGCGACCCTCCAGCCGGCCGCTGCCGCCGTCCCCGCGCCGCGCCGCTTGTGCCATTGCGTTCGCCGCTCTTTGCCGCACCCCGGCAGCTGCTCCATTTTCCCCAATAGCCACAGGAAAGCCGCCCCACCGCGCCACCAACCTCCGCCGCTCGCCGGCATCATTCAGCCGCCCACCACCACCGTTCCCGTCGCCACCGTGCTGCGCCGTTTCCACCGACGGCTTCGCCGCATCAAGCTCCACCCCGGCCTCCACTCCGAATCCACAAAACCACCACCAAAACGCCATTCCACCATGCATCTGAGCCACCACTGCCTCCCGCCGCGTCCAGCCGGCCACCACTACCGCCCTAGTGGCCGCTGCGCTGCGCCGCCGCCGCCGTCAGCATCTCCATGCTGAGCTCCACCCCGGCAGCCGCTCCTCTCCCTTCAACCATCACCGAAAAACCATCCCCACCGCCAACCTGAGGTTGCCGCCGCATTTGCCGCCTCCGGCCGCCTCCTGCTGCCGTCTCATACCACCTCGCGATGCGCCGTCGCCTCCTTCAGCTCTGCAAGGACGAGGAGTCCCTTGGCTGCCTCCTCACCGTCGCCATCCCCCGCCGGAACGCCATTTGCCCCACGCGAGGTGAGCTCCGTCGCCGTGCTTGTTGCCTCCAGCTGCCCTTCCTCGTGGTTCCCGGCCACCCCGCGCTCGCCTAACCCATCCATCACCTTCCTCAGGTCACGGCGCACCCCTTGGCCGCCCCTTTGTTGGCGCCGCCCATCGCCGGAGCGCCGCCGCCCCCTCTCCGCCCGAGCTCCGCCGACCGCCTTCCGTCGTCGTTCCGTTGCCTGCGCCCCTCGGTGAGGACCCCCTCCGTCTCCTCTCCCTTTCCCCTCTTTTCGCCGCCGCGTCGCGCCGCCGCAGCCAGTGGCCGTCCGGCCATGTGCCGCCGACGCCTGGCGAGTCAGCTCCCTCCGTTGCCGATTTTGGGCGCTGCCCATGGACCGCCCGTGCTCCTGCTCCACGGTGCCGCCTAGGCCGCGGTGGACTTGGTCCACCGTGTGCCCTCCCCTTGGAGCCGCTGACGTGCGGGGCCCGCGTGTCGGCGCCGGCTTCTCTTGCTGATGTCAGCGGCAGCCCTTTTCTATTGTGAAAATATTTAATAAATGCGTCATAAACCGATAATAATTATAGAAATTCATTTAATGGCTCAACAACTTCTAAAATTCATATCTAATTCATTCAAACTCCAAATTGGGCCATTCAACTTGCAAAATTCATCTAAAATTGAGTTCTACATGTATGTTTACTTTTTATGTATTGTTTCCTTGGTTTTTATTAGAGTTTTTCCTCATTTTGCGTGCCAGGGTGTAGAATCCGTCGTTTTGGAAGTCCGCGGTCGCGAGGAAAAGAATTCGGAAGATCAAAGTGAAGAAGCAAGGCAAGTCAATCATTCCCCTTGAGCATTTTGATCCTAATTTATAAACGTTTTACCGTTTGCAAATAAACATGCATGTCTTGCTAATTACATGGGATCCGGGTATTACCTATCTGCTTGCTTGTGCTATGTTTACTTGATATCTGTCCTTTGTCAACATTGGGTAATAAATCGACTAGCTCAAGTTACTTATGTGACCTAGCTAGAAATGCTTAGCCATGCTTAATTACCACTAGCTCAGTTGATGGGATAATTGCAGTATTAGACCTTTTTAGCATCAGAACGAGCTGCGTGCTCGAGACACCCGGCCATGTTTCAGTGGCCGTAATTATCGAACTAAAATTTGACTGAATGGTGGGCTATGGGTGCATGGTTTTACTAGTCGCACCCATGGCAATTAAGGACCGGTTCGCGGGATGCCCTGGAAGAACTTATCGTACTTACCACAAGCCAGCGTGGGCAACGACTGGGCTTGTAGTGTAGCTTTCCTCTAGCTGACGCATCCAGGCAAGGGTGGGCGTGATAGAGTTTGGATGGGCCCTGCGATGGCCTATGCGGCTTCCGGATTCACCTAGGCACGAGAGGGGACTGCCCACTGCCTTGCGAGGAGTGGGGGTGAAACCTGAGGTGTGGTGTGCTTGGTTAGAGGGGGTTATGCGAAGGGTCCTGTCACGGCCTCTTTCCGATATGTCGTGGTGGCATGTCGGCGCACGGAAACGTGTCGTGGGGCTGTGTATTGTGGGTACAGTTGTACACCTCTGATCAGAGTAAAACTATTCGAATAGCCGTGCCCGCGGTTATGGGCGGTCGACCAGATTCACCGTGATTAGTTCCACCTTAATAAATCGACTCAATGCACTGTAGTTCAGGTGGGTTGGTTGGGCCTGTTCAACGTGGTGTAGCGTTGATCAGTGGAGATTTAATGCTACTTTAATTACTCAACAATTTTACTGTTTTTCTCAATAAAACGTTTTACAACCGCCTTTATGCAAATAGCCTCAAACCGTCCTTGTATTCCCCTTGCACGCCTGCATCGTTGGTGTGGCTTGTTGAGTATGGTGGTTGTACTCAGCCTTACTATTATTCCCCCTTTTTAGAAGTGTAGTGCTTCTGAGCTGAAGACGGAGTTAGAAGACCAAGACTCAGACCTCAGTTGAGTTTTGCCTGTGGAGTGGAGCTGAAGCCCCGCTAGGATCGCCTTTTTTCCGCTGCTGCTACTTTTGTTTCGGTGTGAGGACTAAGTGCCTCTTCTATAAGTATTTTACGCTTTATTTACGTTTAGAACTGTTTATTACTTGTCGTTTTGTGTACCCTGGCTGGTCCTGGTCAGGGATTTAATGCACAAAATAGTCTGAAAATTTGGGCTAAATTTCTGGGCGTGACAGAAAATCACCGTCTTGGTTACGTATAAATTCTTCTATTATTTTGGGATAAAATTTATCTCCTTCGATTTATGTGATAGAGGGAATATAAGTCTATCTTTGATTAGATGGAGTAGTATCATTAGTTATATTTTTAATAGAAAATATATTTCATTAATATAAATAAAATTAAAATGTTACTTAAAGTTATCTATAGCATAAAAAAAATGTTATATAAAGTTTGGAAACTCCAAAAATTTTTTAAAAAAGAATCACACACAATATAAATAGGTATGAACTAACTCCATTATTGAGACATATTTTTTCTAATAAATTTAAGGATATACAGGTTCAAGTAATACGCCCAATAGTTATTAACGAACATACGTTTAAAATAGAGAAAAAAAATATTTCAAAAATATCATTCACACATAAACATTCGTAATAATAAAATTTCAAACAAGATTAAACAACATGCCCGCGCGTATACGCGGGCTACCTTCCTAGTTATCTAAAAAATAATAATAAAATTTTACTCTAGCTTTCAACTCACTTTATTTTATTAAAGACTTCCCAAAACTGATTTCTACTTCCCAAAACTTCTAATTTTTACGTGGAACTAATCACAGCCTAGCATATGCACGGTGCTACGAATACGATGCACCGCACGCTCGACACCGACACGGCAACGATTCAAACAGCCACGTACATTCGAAGCCCAAGAGACTCGGGCCGCCGCCGCCGCCGTGGCCGCGTGGGTAATCCTTGCTGGCTTTGCCCACCGCCGCCACTAGGAGCCTGGGAAGCTGGCCTCTCCCTGGCGCGGCGCCGCCGGAACCCCATCGCCCCTACCAACTACCCCCTCCGCCCGCCCGCGCCGCCGCCGACTCCTCCGGCCTCGTCCTCTGGCTCCTCGCCATGGCTGCGCCCTCGAACCTCATCGCCGACGACAATCCTGGCCCCGATCCCTTCCTCTGCCGCAGCGTCAAGCCCGCCGCGGCGCGCCGGTGGTAGCCATTTGGGCACGCGGCCGCTCGCGCTACCCGAGCAGATCAGGGCGAGGAGTACGTACACTGTGGAGGACAGGCTTTGCCCAGCGGTCGAAGAGGGGGGGGGGGGGGGGGGGCGCTTCGTCTCCGCCGGTTTCGTCTTGGCCCCGAGCTCCAGCCACCGGCCCCGAGAGAAGGTAATATCAAGGGTATGCTCGTCTCTTCTTGCATGGTGCTGTACTGCAGATTTGCAGCTCTGAGTTAGAACTTGGAATTGTTTGGTGTGCTACTTTGCTAAGCTCATGGTAATGGCACTGCTCCCCCCCTGCTGTCTGTCTATGTCTGTTTGACATTGGTTGCTGAAATCCTCCTGGGGAAAACTGCTGAAAAATACTTCCCCGTTTCATATTATAAGATTTTCTAGTATTACCCACATTTATATATATGTTAATGAATCTAGACATGTATGTGTGCCTAGATTCATTAACATATATATGAATGTGGACAATGCTAGAAAGTCTTATAACCTGAAATAGAGGTAGTACCATGATAGGGTACCTTATCTCCTGTGACTGAGTACTGTACTGTGGTCTGTGTGGTTGTCAGTTGTAGCTAATCTTCTTTAATTACTGTGAGAAATGCAATTAAGGTGATCTGCTGGCCCTGATCAGAATCTTAAAAAACAATAATGAACATTTGCACATTGGTAACTGGAAACATGTCTTTGAGAAGTAAAACTGCCAAAGAAATAGTTTACATTCATGAGGATAAAACCTTGGAAGATACAAAAGCTTGATATTGATGAACACGAGTCTTTCAATATGAGTAATAACATAGAAATAGATATGCAAGGTAATTCATCGCAGTACTTGATTCACTTGTTTGTTCCTTTTTTCTTTGTAAATTGTGCATGTCACTGCAAACATATTGTGGAAAGCTTTGAGCAGTAAAGTTGCTATTGTGATCGACAAGACCTCTGGACGCCTAATGAACTTCATTCACTTGATGGGCCCCCCAAGATCAGGCATTGGTTGATGCTCTTTTTACTTTGCTAAGTCCTTTTGAGAGTTTGTTAAGAGTTGTCTTAGTCTTAGCTAAGTCTTTACTGATGCTATCTTTTGTGTTCCTCCCTGTAGAGGGTTACCTTTTGTCTCCTTCCTGGGCTGTTGTCCTTGTATCTGCACCTAATGATGTAAATGGGCATCCCCCATAACTATGCTGTTTTGGCTTTCTACATAAGCCGGGCCTGTTGGCCTCTGATCTAAAAAAAAAACCTGCAAACATATTGTCTTGATATCTTAGCAAATTGACAATAACTGTATGTTCTGTTGTGCAACTTGTGTTTGTGGTTCTTGCTTTGGCATGTCTTAGAGGCAATGATTTTTTTACTTACTTTCCATCGAAGGCATAGTGCGACGAATGTACAAATGAAATGATATGAAAAATAGCACTTGAGTGTGTGCTTGGCTGAATGTATTTGGCTGTGGTGGATGGCAACTGCCCTCAAAGATGATTATGTGAGTTTATCAGTAAGCTAATACTTATTAAGAGAGTTTTGTCTTAGCTTATTACTGTTGTTGCTATTTCCTTGAATCTACTAACTGTTGCTCACTTTTGCTAAAATAAGAAGAGGCATTGAAACAGTTGAGCTGTATTTGGAAGTGCACTATTTCAGGATATATATGAAAATCCATCTTCTATATGTGTAGGTATCAAACTCTGTGAGTTTACTGGAATATAGAATATTGGATACTTCCCTGAGTGTTTTCCTTTTCACTTGACAAAGTTGTATTTTCATGTGATAGTCATCCTATAGAAATCTATTGGAAATGATGTTTCATCTTGTAATAATATGTTTTTTACGATGGTATACGCAGAATGTTTTTCTGTACTTGACTAAGTTATTTCTGTAGTCTCGCTTTCAAATCAATCCACATGTATTAGGAAATTTTGATATGATCATATATACTGGTTGGTTCTTTCAGGACTGGAAGAAATTTCTTACGAACCCTCTGTCACTCTTCAGTTCTGGTAACTATGTGCTATTCTACCCCAAAAGTATGAAAAGTGGTTCAAATGATCCCAAGTATCATGTTAGCGTCACTGCATATGCACAACACACAATTTGATGTATGATTTATCCTTCGAGAAGTAAACCGCTAGTTCAATGTATATGGTATTATGGTTAAGAGTTAGTTTCTTGTTTGTTCAGCATTACAATAAGTGTGACCAAAGAATCCACACCACAAGCATTGATGTTCTCCCCAATATGTGGCCAACCAATAGGAATATGGATTGAAGTTAATGGCTAAAGTTTCACCAGGTGAGTTTAAACTCTTTTTTCATGTATTGTCAGCATACACTTTGTCTTGTAACAGCATCTGACAGTAGGTTTCTTTTTCTACTTTTTCTTTGATCTAGGTGTAGGTGGCACTGAACTCAAGTTACCTGGGTATCGGATCTGATGTTGCTTCTGCTGTTCAATTTAGTAGGATGGCTTTGTGTACCAAGGTCATTGTTAATGTTCATAATGTTTGGGCAGTTTTATACTTAGGTTTTGCTTTACATACATGTGCAATGACACAGAATAAATGGTATGTACCTTTCTATCCCACTAAGTTCTAATCATGTGTCTGTCCTGCATGTTCAAAAGTGTCCACACGCCCTTACCAATTCTTGGCTTAAGTGAATGACTAGCTGCTAATTATCATGCATCATGAGATGCTCTCTAATTAGTTAAACTTAAGTTTTGTAGTTCCCAAATTTTTTCCTTGTTCGTGCAAAAGGGAAAACTGCTAAAAACTGACTGAATCAGGAATTTGATCAGGCTGGGAATAGCAGGAGCCAGCAAGGCATCGAAGTGGCAAAGTCACGTATGAAACAGAAAGGAACAAAGCAAGGGATGGGCTAAACAAGCACTGGCCTACCATGTGTCGGTAAGTGACTGATAATAGGCTGATTAGCTGATGGTTAGACACTGAGAATGGATTTTCTGCTCTTGCAGTCTTGCAAGGTATGATTTGTGGATCTATAACAAAGATATGGAAACCATTCATGTTGTACAAATAGGTACTAATAGATAAACATGCTTCCAGTTTTGAATCTAATTTATTTTTCCTGTAAATCCATAAACACAGAATCTCGTTCCCAGGGTAAATAGGTACTTGCAAGGTACTACTACTTGTGTCAATAATTGGACTGACAGAGAACAACTTCTGAAATTTCAGACTAGTTTGAACAGTAGTGCTTTCCCTGCTGTTTTGACTTGCACACATCACAAAGGTCATGGACAGAGGTAACCACGGTTGGACTGATGCTGGATTGCTGGTCAATGTGGGCCAAAATGTTCTGTAGATCAACCAAACTCTGATCGGATCAGGCTTCAAGAGTTCAGATGCCACACAAGAAACCAGAATTATTTATCCTGCTCAAGACCAGGCGCACATGGTAGGTTGCCCTGGGGAGAAGCTAGAAACCAGAGTCACATGTACCATGACCAACAAGCATCAACCTCCTTTTGTTTTCAAGCAGTGGTGTAGTACTCAACGAGGCAATCAAGTAGCCCTTTTTTAAGCTTTTCCCCCATCTTTATAAACCAGCCATCTGCACTAGACCCTAGCACTCATCTGTCTCTTTTAGGCCTTCACAGTAAAGCTTGGTACTGGTGCTGGTGCCTGCTCCAGAGCAAGATGGCAAGAGGGGCTCAGCCATCTGCATCCCTCCTGCTCTTCTCCCTGGGGCTTGTGCTCCTCTACTTCTCCTCAGGTAAGCACATTTCTTCAGTAAGGTGAATTAGACTGTTGTTTCTTCAGTAAGGTTTCATTTCTGCTGAATTAGACTCTTTTTATTTCTCCTGAAGTCCTGATTCCCGGTGTCCTAGGAGATTGTTTTCCTTGTGTTGTACTTGTTGATTTGGTCTAAATATGGTGAACATCATTTTTAGATATTGCTACTGGTTTATAGTGAGGGCAGAGTATTGATCTCGATAGTTCAGGGAAAAGACAACCAACCTATCAATTGTAGATTCATTGCCAAGATCTGCTTATGATCTGAACTTACTTGCTATCCTTCTTCAGGGAATTATACCTAACTTTTTAAGTCATTTGAACTTTGAAACCAATCTAAAATTGACGCTTCTCCTTTTCACAGGAAGCACCATTCGACTTGCTGAGGGACAGGTACCTAAATTTAGCTTCTCCTGCTTCTCTTTTATGCCTATTGCTATTTATTCTCTTTTACGCCTATCCTTATTCTTTTCCTGACGATTGATATGCAAATCCAGTCCATAATGTAAGATGACTTTTTTTTTTTACATAAGATAACATTAACATGCCTTGTTATGTACGCCTATGACTATCAGTGTAAAATGTAGTCTTCAGCAAATCTAAGCATTCGTATTAGTATGACATTCTAAGCACTTAGTGATGACATGCAAAGCTCCTTAAATTCAGTGGAATAGCCTGCTAGAAAGGGCAAAAGAAAGCCATTTACTGCATTTGATTCATCCTTGAGCTAGAAAACTGAGAACATGATTTACTCATACCATCTTTATCTTATAAATCTGTGAACATCTTCAATGTTCACACACCAATAATCTGTTTTCATCTCTACCAACACAGAAAACTTGGTGCGTGGCGAAGCCGTCAGCAGATGACAAGGTTCTTACGGCGAATCTCAACTACGCCTGCTCTCAGGTGAACTGTGGAGTGATTCAGCAAGGTGGCCCGTGCTTCAACCCCAACAACCTGGTGTCGCACGCCGCAGTCGCCATGAACCTCTACTATGCTGCCCATGGCAGGAATGCCTGGAACTGCTACTTCCAGAACTCAGCTCTCGTCGTGCAGTCTGACCCAAGTATTTAACCTCAGTACTTGATAGAGATCTTAGATTGAAAATGCTCCCTGAAATCTAGTCCCTGACAGATGTTCTGAATCTGGTTTTGCAGGTTATGGTTCCTGCACGTACTACTGATTTTAAAACTGAGGTCGAGGTCGAGGCAGGGCCTACGCAGCTGAGTTTGTATTAGGATGTCTTTTACTCCCATGTTAGCAGTGCCGAGATTTCGTGGCGATGCCCTAGATCCTCTGATGCTTAGTTTATTGATAAGATGAACATTGATTTGCTCGGATCTTGGATGCTGTTTGTGGCGTCCATTCCCATCAACCTTCATTGGATGTTTGGAAATTCAGACTTGTTGATCCACATGCTTCATTGCTTCCTGTTTCCTAGCATCTCTTGTTTTCAGTTTGATGGAAACCGGGGATTCGTTGAATGAATATATGATTTGTCACTGATGCTCACTACTACTCCCTCAGTCCCCAGAATATAGCATCCTATGATGGGATAAGACCCATCCTAGGACAATGTATCTGGACATGAGACATATCTAGATACGTCTCATATCCAGATACATTGTTATAGGATGAGTCCCATCCTACATTGCTATATTCTAGGATAGAGGTAGTACTACCTAAACCCTATTCTGGAATAGAGGTAATAACAACTGAACAAATTTCATTATATGTCACTCAATTCGCACTCCATTTGAGATTTGCCAATCAAAATAGTGAAATTTTGGTAGTAGTTGAGTTTTGTGATCTGTACATCTTGAGATCAACTTCAGAAGTCAGATCGGAACCAGATAAATCGCAACTACGCGTACAATCATAAAAACGCAGTGTACTGTCCTGTGTACTAGGGGAGACATCTGAAACACACGCATAACGCATTGACCGCGATCCGCTCCAATCCGCCGCGTCGTGCGCGTCCGGACCTTCAAATTGCCGGCGCAATTCGCGGCGGAGCGCGGCATTTCCGCCGGCGATGCGGCCCTTCTCGAGGCACGCCGGCTTCTTCGCGTCACTTAAGCAGGTGGAAGACCGGCTGGCGGCGGAGCAACAGCCGCCGCCGCCGCCGCCGCCGCCGCCGAGACAGCCTGAGACGCTGCCGTTCTCGGACACCATGACCGCGTCGCCCCTCTTCCTCGGCCCGGCGACGGACACGGCGGCGGCCGACCGCCCCGGCGGCGAGAGCAGCGGCCCCGCGGTGGACTTCCTCACGCTCTCCAAAGACGAGGAGCGGTTGCAGGAAGAACCCCGAGGCGCCGCCGGCGAGGACGACGACGAGGACAACGACGAGATCGGGGAGGACATCGCGCGGCTCATGGCGCTGCTCGGCTTGTCGCCGCCACGGCGCGGCCTCGAGGGCGGCGGCGGCGACGACGACAGCGGCGGGTGCGATTGCAGCGGCGGCGAGGGGTTCTTGGCCAAGGTCGTCGGCGTGGTCGGGCCCAAGTGCGACAAGGAGAAGAGGAGGGTGGACGGCTGGGTAGAGCATTACTTCAGCGGCGGCGAGTGCAGGGAGCCGGCGAGGCTGGCGCACCTGCTGCTCGCCAAGGCGGCGGCGTCGTCGTCGTCGTCGTCCTGGGAGGGAGAAGGGCACCGGGGTGCTTCACCTTTTGCCTTCCCGGCCACCGTGAAGGAGTTCTTGGATCGTGACGCCCCACCGCGCTGCACGGAGGAGTAGCAGAGGTGGTGCTTGGCCATGGTACACTGCTGATGAATCTTGCAAGCTGAATATATTTTTTTTTTGAAAGGAGAGCAAAAGCTTTGCCTCGTATATTGATAGAGATGGAGAAAATACAGGGCGATAGAATTATGTACAAGGTAGTCTAAAAAAGAACTAAGCCCGTAAAAGGTGATGGTTAAGTGATATCTCCCAAGATTCCGAACTCTTGAAGCCTAAAGGCTCCTGCTTTGACCCATGCCTGACCTTCCTCTTTTATCTTGACGAGGATATTCCCCTTTCATATTTGCCTTCTGAAGTGTCAAAACAAAAACAATGTGGTATTAGCAGATGAAACGTCTTGATAAGATTCTCCAAGCATTGCCTGATGAAATCTTGTCTACATGCATTTACCTGAGTTATGGAAGGATATAATGCCTGATGAAATCTTGGAAGGATATTGTTTCTCACAAGATCCATTGATGGCTCTGGCTCAGCAAAATGTACTCCCACTATCCAAGTTGTATGGTAAATTGTACTAGTATTATGAAACGTAAGCTTCATCTGCCAATGTCAAATATGTGATCATTTTGTCCCATCACTGTAAATGTCAATCATTTTTTTAAGATAATGTTTGGGCCTGTTTGTTACAGCTTCAACTCCTAAATTTTGCTCCAGGAATTGGATCTGGAGTGGAGTTGTGGAGCTGCCTAAACCCAGCTCCACAACTCTAGTTCATTTTGTGAGAGAGCTCCACCCAACTCCACTCCCAGTTTTAGTGGAGCTAAAACTGTTTGGCTGAGCTCCAGCTCCAGGAGGGGTGGAGCTAGAGCTGGAGCTATGCCAAACAGGCCCGAAATAGCAATCACTTGATCAATCAAAACGGAAGATTAATGTACCATTCGCTGTTCCAAGTCAATCAAAATAGAAGATTAACTGTTCCAAGATTAATGTACCATTCGCTGTTCCAAGTCAATAACTCGAGACAAAAATGTATCAAGCATGCTACAGTGCCTACAGAAACTGAAATCTCATCATGCAAATACTAATGGGACCAGTGAAATCGAGTAAAACAGTATCCTATATTCCTATTCGCTACTGACCGACTATAGAGATGGAAGAATGGTGAGAACCGTTAAAAGATTCATGGATGAGCTTTCTGAATTGACAAATAATTTCCAGTTACATTTAGAATTCATCGACCAATAATAGTTTTGCAAATGTTTTTCAACAACATTAGGTAGCTTGTTTTGCTAGCACCAAATAAGGTACACATGCCTGTTATGCCTCTTTGAAGGGTTCTCCTTAGATGGTATATTCTGACTTTGGACAAGTTCCCCATTATTATTATTTTTGCATGAAAACTTATTAACCATAAGATTCTTAAATCATGAACAAAGATTCAAATACAAACAAATCTATCAGGTTAAGATGAAAACCTGCTAGTCTCCCACCACACCAAGTGTTCAGCTATCAAATTCTTAATTACCAGGGGTGCTGGAGTAGAGGTTTGCCTGCACCTAATAAGCCATAAACTATCATCCAGTATTCCAGTGCATTATTTTTTTTCGAACGAACGCATCCAGTGCATGATTTATTCTGAGATCTAAGGACCTAGACTTGCAGCACAGCAGCAGTTTGATACAGGTAAAGGATCAGACCATAAGAAAGAACATAAAAGATAATAGTACGAAAACTGAAAAGAAATAGAGTTCACCTTCAACCGCCAACATATGAAGACCGAGGGCTGAGGGGATTCATCCTCAAACAGAGCTCACCAAGATTAAGGGCGCTGCAAATGCACATGCCATCTTCAACTGAGCACTGAGGAGCTTCCTCCCCATATTTGGCAAATAGCAACTAAATCAAATTGGACAGGATAAGTAGTCGAACGCCATCTTCAACTATGAGCACTGAGGAGCTTCCTCCCAATATTGGCAAATACATTACTAGCAACTAAATCAAATTGGACAGGGTAAGTAGTCGAAAGTAACTGACCCACTGTACAGAAAAAGACAATGCAATCATTCTCTTTCCATTAGCAAGCCAAAATATTCATTCATCTGTTGAACCAATCACGACTACAGTCAATTATTCACAGCTTGATCTTCCAAAGAGGCAACTACCAATAACCAAGCTTGGCAGTTTGGCCATCTGCAAACCAAGCAATATGTCTGGCACATTGGCACATGCCAAGGTGCTTGGCGTGGGCTTCATCCTTCCCGTAGCCCACATCTGACTAAACAAGGAGAGGGCATTCTTGCTTTAACCATTTTGATCATACCCGCCGCTGATCATCGCAATCCAAGAGATCACGTTCTTCCTCGGCATCCCCTCAAATAATGCATAAAAGCATCGTGGGCACGACCGCTGCTGCAGTACACAGAAATCGTGGCATTGCAGCATGCGACACACCCTCCCGGCCCGCATGAGCACGCCAATGGCCGCCGTCCAAGAGACGGCATTCCGGTCCGCCACAGGCATTTCGCCGAACAGCCTCAGCGCGCCGGTCGGTGGTGCGGCCGCGGGAGAGGTCGCGCTCGGCGGCCGCCGATGAGGTGCGCGGAGAGGAGGCGTCGTCGTGGCATGGGCGCGGAGGAGGCGCCGGCCGCGGCGGGAGCGGAGATCGAGAGGGGGGTGGGCGCGCGTGTGGCGGTGGCGGGAAGGTTTTCATTTCATCCTATCGCAGATTCGCAGCTTGTTTGGTGATTGGGGAGTTGAATGATCGCAAACGGGACGATAATTTTGGCAGGCCTTCATTTCGCCCGATTCGCCACCGAGATGCAGAAGAAAGCCCAATAATAGCCAGTGTTGGTCTTCGAGCCCAACAAACGTCCTGATCCACGAATCTTGGAAAAACCCATCATTCATTCCTTCCCCCTGTTTGATGCAGTTTTTTTTTCATAAACACAGATTATTCATTTGATTAAACACAGTAAATTAGTGTTTTTTTAAAAAAAAAACTTTAATAAGTTAGAATAGACAGTATAGACAATGAAATAGAAAAAGGTTATTTTTTAGAAATCATATTTTTAAGAAGCACGAGCAAATAATCCGTAGCGAAAAATCAAAGAAAAATCACCACATGTTATTCAAGTTTCAACCAGGGTTCACTCTATCCGTTTAGGGTTGTTGATCGGGGGTCACCGAAATTTCAAAAATTTAGGTCCGAAATTTCCAAAATTTTGAACAAAATTTAGTTGAATTTGAACAAATATTACCCAAATTCATGAAAAAAAATTCAAAAATTCAAAAATTTTGGCCGAATTAATATTGTATCGGGGGGTCACCGAAATGACCAAAATTTTGGCAACCCTGGTTTCAACGCCATCGGGTGAAATTGGCACTTGTCAATTTTTTTTTAACGAACAAACACGGGGCATTTGACACAACATATTACACCCACTTATGTCATTACCAGAATCCCAAATTTTATTGAGAGGCACAACCCACCAAAGATGGAATAAAAATCACCAAGGTAACAAGTTTTGTCGGTCGACCAACGAGGAAAACCTGCCAACGAGAACGAGGGAAAAGTCCATTTTCTTGGTGGCTATCCGTGATGAAAAATATTCGTGGCAGTATAACTGATAATAAAATTATGGTCATTTCCAACTTTCCCAGTGCGTCAAGAAATCGAAACTTATATCAGTTGAAACCACCAATTAAGGCTTTTTTTTTTCTCGTGAAAACCACCAAGATTATACTTTACCTTGGATGTTCCAAAATCATCAAGGACTCAAAGGATATACTTTTCCTTGGATGTTGAATTCATATATAGAAGATAAAGATGAGGCCAGACTGTTCATGGCGAAACGTAAGTATTGCTGCATGCACCGACGTACCATGTTCCAAGCGATGTTTTGTTAGGTAAAGCAACTGAAGATATAATACTATTAGGTGAAGATATTCTAGTAGTCGGGTTTAGACAAAATTCAAAGTCTTATGTTCCACGGTGCAAGGTTGAATGTACAACTGAACATATATGCGTGCCGTACGCACTTGAAAGTTGAAAAATTGATGACCAATCATTAATCTGGCAGGCATACTGCATGAGTCCCATCGTTCCATCTATTATAAACGGCAACGTGTATTAACGTAAAAAATAAAAAAAATGTAGGTAAGATTTTTATATACATGTACTTTTAACAACTTAAAAGATAACGTTGGAAAAGAAACTATGATGACAAAACACTAAAACCAAATATAAAAAGTAAGATTTAAAATTTAAATTTTGGTTGTGGCTGATAAACTAAAGAGCAAAGATAAAAGCTCTGAGAATGTAATAACGCATATTGCACATTCTAAACCAACTTCCCTTTGAACAAAGGAATCCCAGAGAAATGAGAGAATCTATTCTATACCACTGAATTTATTAGAATTCAACGATTTGCCATCGAGATTGCCGCTTTCTATAATATACCGATAACTTTATCAATTATTTTATAATACTTAAGAACAATACCCTTATACACATACAAGGTTAATAATTGATTTATCTAATTTAAAGTTTCAAAAATATGAAAACTTTTATGTGGCCTCCTTACACAATTTTGCAAGTTTTTTACATTTCTATTTTTTTATTTCTATTTTTTATTAAAAAAATATAGAGTAAATTTTATAAAACTACGTATACTTCGCACAATCTATCACAAAACTACAGATTTAAGAACTTGTTTCACAAAACTACAGATTCAATATCTTCGTTTATCACAAAACTGCAGATATTTTGCACAATATATCACAAAACTACAAAACTACAGATTTAAGAACTTGTTTCACAAAACTACAGATTCAATGTCTTCGTTTATCACAAAACTACAAGTTTAGTATCTTCATTATCACAAATCTACAGGTTTTAGCATTATTAAAAAATGTAGTTTTGTGATAATGGAGACACTAAATATGTAGTTTTGTGATAAATGGAGACACTAAATGTGTAGTTCTGTGATAAACGAATACACTAAATCTATAGTTTTGTGAAACAAGTTCTTAAATATGTAGTTTTGTGATAGATTGTACACAATACCTGTAGCTTTGTGATAAACGGAGACACCGAACCTGTAGTTTTGTAAAACAAGCTCTTAAATTTGTAGTTATGTGATAAATTATACAAAATACCTGTAGTTTTGTGAAATTTACTCAAAAATATAACTTATTTGTTATATGTTATAAAATACTTTTTTATTATTGTTTTTAATATAAATCATCTTTCATACACTACATAAGATATTTTTATGCTATTATGTCCTGTATAAGCAAATTCTCTCTCATATACCACATAAAAATATTTTTTCTAAAAACTAAATATGCAGAAAAAAAAATTGAAACTTGTATACAAACTCCCATGTTGTGTAAGGAGGCCACAAAAAAAATTCATAGTTTTTTGAAACTTCGGATGAGATAAATCAACTGTTAATATTGTATATCTCTAAGGCTATTTTTGAAAATAAGGTTCAACCCAATAACGTATTGTAAAATAGTTGATAAAGTCACCGGTATATTATAGAAAGAGATAATGTCGATGACAAATCATTGAACTTGAACAAACTTAGTGGTATAGAATAGATTCTCTCCAGAGAAATTGGATCAGTTCTGAAAGAAACTGGAGAAAGTTTTGAAGGTGGTGTGATTAAATTTACCTTGCAAA